AAGATCTGGTGGAGACGCTATTTGTTCTTCAAGACACAAAAAAAGAAAAAAAATAACAGTCAGAAGTTCTGCTTTACCTCCCAAGGGGAGAAAACCCTTGAGAAGGCCTTCTTTCTCTTTCTCTTTCAGACAATGGTGAGCCATCCCCTACAGAAGTTTTGCCTACTAGCTCTACTCATGGAAACGCTGAGGCCTACCAGGGCTACAGCGATGCCAAATCCACACCAGCCTCTGAGAGTCACATGGATGGTGATCAACGCAGCCACAGGAGTGATCGCCAACAGTACCACCAAGATCACTCTGCCGGGAGCATGGTGGCCAGACCTGGAGGTCGACATCTGTGACCTTGCGGCTGGATCTTGGGACGTAGGGGACCGTCTGTACCTAGCGGACACCTGACCCAAATGCAAAGACAAGGGGAGGCGGTGCACCGTGCCACTCATGGGCTCCCCCTTGGGAGCCTGGGTGTTCCCACGTCCTCAAGAGAGTCAGCCTGAGGGAAACAGTATTCTATGTTTGCCCAGGAAGCAACAGGACCGGGGATCAAGTAAGACACTGTGGTGGGGCCAATTCTTATTATTGTTATAATTAGGGATGCTAAAAGACAGGGACGGGAAGTTGGATCACACCCTCAAGGGCAATTCAGGTAGAGAGAGTGAAACAACCAAGACTGTCCACAAATCCTCTTTTTGGGAGGTGTGCAAAATATCACTGCAATCCCCTAAGAATTCACATTACAATTGAAGGAAGGCAATCTGGGGGATGGGACATGGGAAAAACCTGGGGACTTCGACTGTATGTAACTGGAGCTGACCCTGGCCTCCTCTTCATGATTAGGAGAAAGGTTGAACCCCTAAAAAACAATATCATAGGGGACCCAATGGTCAGCTCTAAAAAGACTGAGCTATTGCCACCTACTCCTGGACCAGCTCATTCTGGGACTACCCACAGAAGGAGATGACCACGGTGGCCTTAAAGGTACCCTAAAAACAAAAAAACATGGACAGACTGGGTGGGTCAGCTGAGGTGGACCTGGTCACTGCAGTGCAGCTAGCCTATCAGGTCCTTAATTTCACCCACCCTGACCTCACCTCTTCCTGTTGGTTATGTCTTGATGCTGCCGCCCGACCCTTCCGGTGCCATGGGAAATTTTACAAATACCACAGATGACCAGTGATGTCGGTGGGGAGGTGCAAACGCCAAGACGTCTGGCATCTCCATTCCCTTAAAATACTACAATGTTACTTGTATCACCTTTGGAAATCCCACTAACCCATGGAAAAACTGTATAAACATTACCGGTTTCAGAGGGAAGTGGGTCGTCCCTAACACTCCTACTCATTATTGGCTATGCCAGGAGACAGGACTGACACCCTGCATTTCCACCCGCCTTCTCCGGAACCAAGGGGGGGATGTCTGTACCTTGGTGGTACCATTCCCCCATGTGGTGTATCACTCCCCGGAAGACATAGAGGCCCAAAAATTCCACCAGGAAAAAAGGGAGCTTGCCACACTGATAGTTTCCACGCTCCTGGGGCTTGGGATGGGGGGTACTGCTCTTGGGGCCACTTCCCTAGCCCTTTCTCAGCAGGGCCTTCAGGGAATTCAGGCAGATATGGATGTGGGGCTAGATAAACTAAGCAACCAGGTTCCTGCAACAATCCCTCTCCTCCCTGGCACAGATGACCATGCAAAACAGAAGAGGGCGCGATCTCCTTTTTATGCAGCAAGGAGGATTATGCATGGGGCTAGGAGAAGACTGCTGCTTCTATGTAGACCACTCTGGGGTAGTAACAAAAAACCTTGATTGGTCCGGAGAGAAATCGAAGGTAGGTGAGCCAGGAGAGACGAAACCTTATTCGAACAATGGTTCGACAGCTCCCCTTGGCTGACCACCTTGCTGTCAGCTCTGTTAGGACCTTTAGTGATAATCACACTTATTTGTTCCTTTGGACCCTGCATCTATGGAAGTCTTGTAAGAATTATACGAGGTCAGGTAGAACAGATACAGGCTATGATGCTCCGGCTCCATTATGACTGCATACCCACCTCACCCCCCCACATGAGACAAGCACCTAAACCAAGGTTTATTAATGGCTCGTCTAATTCAAGGTTTGGCCATCTGCTGGGCATCCGGGATTAATGGCTCACCTAACCCAAGGTTTGGCCAGCCCTGTAATAATCGGATCCCCTGTCAAACAAAACAAAAAGGGGGGGATGTGTAGGTGCGGCAACAAGATGGCGCAGAGCAGCTGAGGTGAAGGCGGAGCCAGCTGGCCAGCTTGGCTGAGCCACAAAAAGAGGAAGTAATACTGATTGGAGCCTAGCCAGTAAAGGACATGTGATCACCTCGTGAACAATATGTTATACCATGAGAAGAGCCTGCGTGTTATATGTGACCTCTAAGCTGATTGGGTGACGGCTTTCCCGCCTGTGCTAATGCTTGCGACTTTTGTCCTTAAATATTGATCAGCCTTGACAATAAACGAGTTTTCCTGCTTGAAGCGACTCCCTGCCGTGTCTGATTGTCCTTGGAGAGAAGGGCTGGTGAGGCTTCCTCCTCCTCAACCCCCATCGCCGCAGCCTCTCGTTCCTCTGCCCTAGACGCAGGGGTTTGGAGACCTTGGCAGTCCCGTGTGGGAGTGCTTGCCTAGCCCAGATTCCCGTTCAATCCCCGGTACTGTAGAGGGGCGGGGAGAGGTGGGGGAGCAGCTGCGTTCTTCCTGGTTCTTCACACTTCCATCATTCAGCTCTTGGATGGAAGCTGTCGCCTCTCTCCTGGTCCCTATTTGACCTACGTGGGATTCCTTCCTTGATCCTTGACCCTTGACTCTGACCTCAGCTCATTCCATTGGTCCCCTGCCACCTCCACAGAGAGGCCTCCCCCTAATGGCCTCTCAGGTCCCACACCCTTCCCGCCTTCCTAGCCTGGACCATCCTCTAAGGTCGAGGAGGGACAAGCATTAAGTGACTCTTACATTTATTTATTTATTTTGTGTATGTGGATCTGTGTAGCCAATGCAGTGTGTAGAGGTCAGAGGACACTTGTGGGAGTGGGCTGTCTCCTTCCACATGTGGGTCCTGGGGCTCAAACTGAGGCTGTCAGCCTTGGAGGCAAGCACCTTCACCTGCGGACCATCCCACTGGCCTTTAAGTGAAGGGTTGTATGTAGCCCTTCCTCTTCTCTGCTTTGATTCCTGGCCATGAAATGAGTGCCCTTGCTCCAACATATGCTCCCACTGTGATGTGCTGTCTTGACCCAGATCCAAAACAACAGAGCCACCTGATCAGAGACCAAAATCTCCAAACCATGAGCTGAAATAAACCTTTGCTTTTTTATTTTTTTTTGATAGGGTCTCTCTAGCCCCAGCCCACCTGGAACTCACTTATGTAGGCCAGGCTGGCCTTGATCTCACAAGAGATCTGCCTGCCTCTGCCTCCTGAGTAATGTAAACCTTTGCTTTTTACAAGCTGATTTTCTCAGGTGCTTGTTATGGTCTTGAAAAGCTAATCTGGTTACCCTTTGAGGTTGAGGGGAACTGTGGAGAGCCACAGCCTCCGCCGCCATTACAAGATGGCGCCGGTATCCGGACCTTCTTAACAGTAAACATCCTGCTGCGCCCATAAGGGGCGTGCACAAGAGCCTGCTCTCCCTCGCCTCCTCCCGTGGCGTGATCTCCAGCAACCAATCCGCTTCTTATACGTCATAGATGGGACCTTTAGACTATATAAGCAACCGCTCTCCCGCTTCTCGGCGTCTTCGGTCTTTAAGCTTCTAAGAGTGTAAGATGCGCATACAATAAACTGCTGCAGAAGGATCCTGACTTGTCCTCCCGCGTCGTTCTTGCCGGCTAGACGGAAAGTGGTCGGGGACAGGGAACCAAGTTCTTATTCTAAAACCTCCAAGGAGAGAAAAAGAATATAAGTAATGACCATCTAGATTTATCTAGATGCTAAATTCATGTAATCAAAAGCTGGTATGGGAAACAGGCCTGGAGGAGTAGCTCAGTGGGTAGAGTGTTGGCCTAGCACATATGAAGCCCCAGGTTCGATCCTCAGCACCACATGAATCATGCATGATGTTGTCTGCCTATAATCTCAGCACTTGGAAGGTGGAGGCAGGAGGATCAGAAATTCAAGATCATGCTCAGCTATACAGCATCAGGGTCAGCCTGGCTACAGGAGACTCTGTCTCAAAAAAAAAAAAAAATCGGATGAGCATGTTGTAATAGATGAATCAGGATCAGTGTAGCAACACCTTAAAACACTGTTCAGTTTTGATTCAGAGACACTTTGTACCTCCTGATGGAGAGGCAACTTGAAGTACTATTTCCAGTGAACTCCATGCAAAGAGCACTGAGAATGCTGAGTCTCAGTGAAGCTAAGTGCAAGAGCTGGGTCTGAAGTTTTTGTGCATTTGCCAGTGGTGAGCAGGAAGTGGGTGAGGTCATCACAGAGAAAACGCCACATTTGGGATGCAGAGCTGGATAGCGAGCATGTGGGAGTCCACACATGACAGGTTGTAAAGATGTTTATGTGCATGAGTGGACTGCCTGCATGTATGAGTACACTCGGGTCCTGCAATGCCCACGGAGGTCAGAAGAGGATGTCAAATTTCCCTGGAACTGGAGTTACAGATGGTTGTTAGCCACCATGTGGGTGCTGGCAATCAAACCGCCCTCTGCAAAAGCAGCCAGTGCTCTTAACTGCTGAGCTTATCTCTACAGCCCTGAAAACAATTGTTTTTTTTTTTTTTTTTTGGTCTTTTTGAGACAGGGTCTCCTTGTAGCCTCTGCTGGCCTGGAACTTGCTGTGTAGACCAGGCTGGCCTCAAATCACAGAGATTGCCTGCCTTTGCCTCCCAAGTGCTGGGATTAATGGCATGTGCCACCACGCCCCAAGAAAATAATAAACCTTATAAAATAAAAATGGCTGGAGAGATGTTCAGCAGTTAAGAACACTGATTGTTCTTGCAGAAGACCCAGATTCGAATCCCAGCACCCACATGGCAGCTAACAACTGTCCGTAACTCCAGTTCCAGGGGATCCGATGGCCTCTTCTGTCCTCTGCAGGCATTGCATGACACAGGTGCACTTACCTACGTGCAGGCAATACACTCATACACATAAAAAAAAGTAAATAAATAAAAAATATTTAAAAATAAAATAAAAAAGTGCTTGGAGTCAATAACCTTTTCTGTGTGTTTGAAAAATCACCTGGTTTCTCACCTGCTCCTGCCCACCACAGGTTCTCTGCTGGGGTCTGGATAGTCACTATAATGAGCTGGCTGTGGTGCTCAAGCTGGAAGAGGATCAGTTGGGCCAGAAGAGCTGGTTCACTATGAGAGCAGGCTGCTGAAGGAGGCCTTTTCACAGATCTCAGCAGCTTCGCAGGAACCAACACACACCTGACTGACTCCCACAAGGCTTGACGTTCCAGGAGAGTGAAGTCTTTGTTTACTCTTCTACCTCTAGTGGGCACGTCTTGAGTCTCTTTCTATATACCTAAATATACTGCTGTATAGAGAATATGTTTATAGTAATTTATAGAATCCTGTCGTCTCACCTTTACATTTATGTAATTTGATTTTTCCCACGTCAAATACTTCATCATTCTCTAGTACTAGTGTCTTCAACTGATTCAAGACAAAATTAAGAACAGGCGAGTATCTAGGCCTTTGATATGAACTAATTAACTCAATTCCTAAGATCTCTCCCATCACCAAGATTCCATTATTTTATGACAAAGCCAATTTAGAACCTTGCTTCTCACACCTGACAAGACTAAGCCTTGGGACATGATCCTGTAGAACATAAGAGGTAAGCCCTGTGACTCCAAACACAAGTGGCTGGAGGGGCCAGGGGAGGCTCAGTGCTCTAGGGGATGCTCCTGAGGTTTGAGGGGCATTGGGGCAAAGCAAAAGGAGCGAGGGCTAGGGAGACAGCTCTGTCAGGGAGTGCTTGCCACAAAAGGAGTGAGGGCTAGGGAGACAGCTCTGTCAGGGAGTGCTTGCCACAAAAGGAGTGAGGGCTAGGGAGACAGCTCTGTCAGGGAGTGCTTGCCACAAAAGGAGTGAGGGCTAGGGAGACAGCTCTGTCAGGGAGTGCTTGCCACATAAGCAGGAGGATCTGAGTTGGACCTCTAGTGCCAACATAAAAAAATTAGGCATGGTGGTGTATACTTGTAATCTCAAGTGCTGGGGAGGCAGAGATAAGGCATCCCTGGGGCATGCAGGCCAGTCTAGCCAACTTGGCAAGCTCTAGGTCCATGAGACACCCTGTCTCAAAAACACAAGGTGGAGTGTCTCCTGAGGAGATACCTGAGGTTGACCTCTGGCCTCCCGCACAAGACATACACACACACACACACACACACACACACACACACACACCAAAGAGCCTCTCCTGTAACCATCCTCTCTTATCATCAGTCTCTGGCCTCTGCCTGATTTACTGAGTACAGTCAGCCATGTATTGGAAGATGTTTCACATCTGGCTCTCAAGAGGAAAAGCCCTAAGTACGGGCAGAGGCCTACTCGCTTAGTGAAGAGTCCCGTCCTGGCCAAGGTATTTCCATGCTGGAAGAGCACAAATTGGCTCTCATGGCTGGTACGGGTGAACTGCAACCCTCACTGAAGTATCCTCAGATTTCAGGCCAAAACCGCTAGTGGTCTTCCAGCAGTTTAGTGTATGATGCACAGCACTTTTTACTGAAAAAGCAAATCATTCGGAGTATTGTTTTGTTTCTTCAGTCAGTGTGACTGTGTTAGCAAATCACAGTGAAACGGCTCTTATTGTGGCTCAGGGTTAAAAAGTCTAAGAACTGCCACTGAAGCATCTTCTCTCTTTAAAATCAAAACCAAAGCTGAGCATGGAGGTGACACCTACCACCTTAGCTCAGAGGAATGAAGGACTGGGACTTCAAGCCAGCCTAGGCTACCCAGGTGACAGGATCTCAACACCGCCCATGAACAAGTTTAAGGATTTTATTTTAATTATGTGGCCACATGAGTTCAGATGCTCACAGGCCAGAAGAGGGCTTGAATCCCTGGGGCTGGAGTTACAGTCAATTATAGCTGGTGGACATGGGTGCTGGGAACCAGATTCGGCTCCTCTATAAGAGCAGCATAAGGGGATGGAGATATGGCTCAGTGGTTAAGAGCACTGTTCTCACAGAAGACCCAGGTTCGAATCCAAGCACCCACATGGCAGCTAACAACTGTCCATAACTCCATTTCCGGGGGATCTGACAGTCTCTTCTGTCCTCCTCGGGCCTTGTACGACACGGGTGCACTTACCTACATGCATGCAATACAATCCAACACATAAAATTAAAATAATAAGTAAAATATGGGCCAGATGTGGTGGCACACGCCTTTAATCCCAGCACTCAGGAGGCAGAGGCAGGCCAGCCTGGTCTCCAGCAAATCCAGGCCAGCTGAGGCTACACTGAGACCCTGTCTCAAAAAGACAAAAAAAGAAAAAAAAAAAAAAAAAAAAAAAAAAAAAATTGAAAAAAAAAAAAAAAGAGCGAGCAGCACAAACTCGTAACCACTGAGCCATCTCTCCAGCCCCAATGAAAATCTTTCTTTACTGTACCCGGTCCCTTAGCTATGGTTTCTCTTTTCTTCCCACCAAAGTTTCTTGAAATATTCACGGTCCCTATTTCTACTACTTTTCACTTCACATTTCTTCACTCACTTCTAAGTCAGTCACAGCAACTTCTGTGTGGCTAAATTCCACTGGTCCTGCCCACGCTCTCTGACCTCTCCGGGCGCCTGGCGCACATGGAACCGGACTCTGGTTCCTGTCCGCATTCTCGGCGAGGCGGCCCCTTCTCTCTTTTTTCCTGGACTGCCCTTCTGTTCCAGGTCTTCTCCATCTGTCTGCTCTCTTGGGTGGCCTCATCCCATCTCATGACCCTGTATCACCTTCTCCTCGATGCTTCAGCACGCTGGTGACCTGTGTCAGAACACACTGCAGTTCTCAGGAGCCCCAGGACTTCACACTATTCCCTTAGCTTGGAATGCATCCAGCACTGCGGTCAATTTATCTCAACTTTAACTTTGTAAAAAAGTAGTAGACCCAGGGAAAACTGAAGATACTCAACTCCTCTTTCACTTTACCAATAACTTAACATTCAACTTGATATTCAGGGATTTTTTCTTGCAAGACAATTCACTAGGCCTCTTGGAATGTGTAGGGAAATTCCCTTTCACAACTTACAGTCCAGTATATAGCTAAAAACACACAACACGGAGACCAACTAACTACAGCTCTCAGGCAGTGCACATCAAGGGCCAAATCCAATTAATTAAGTTGAATATTGAGAAGTGAATCAAACTTAGAAAATAGACAAGAGAAAAGGAGGAAGTAGCAGTGACTTAGAACACGAGTTTGTGGGAAGGGGCTTGTAGTGGACTCAATGGTTTTCAAAAAAAAATTTAATTCATGAGTGTTTTGCCTGCATGTATGTAAATGCATCACCTGCATGCTATGCCTGTGGAGGCCAGAATCGGGTATTGGATGCCCTGGAACTGGAGTTACAGATGGTTTTTAGCTGCCATGTGGGTGCTGGGAATCGAACTCAGGTCCTCTGCAAGAGCAGCCAGTGCTCTTAACTCCTGAGCCATCTTTCTAGCCCCTGGATTCACATTTTTTAAAACACCAGGTAGGAAAAAGCTAAGTGGCTTTTTCTCAAACATGTCTTTGAAAAACAAATGTGGGAAAAGGCCAAGTAGAGAAAACAATTTTGAAGTCATTAATCTATCAGTCCCAAGCAGCTCCAAGTACCCAACTTGACTTTCAGTTGTTCTGCTGTCCAGGGAGCTAACAGGCCAAGCTATCACACAGTGCAGGCCCCTAACTTCGAAGTTGGGTATTTACTGAGCATCTGCTTGCTCAGATTTGACCGCCGTACTGCCCAAACTGTTTTAGAAACCCCCTGAACTGAATAACTGACCTGTCACCCACAGGCTGGCACATGCAGACACTGATGACAGGATGGGGGCTCTGGCTGGAGCTAGTCTTGCAGATTTCCTCCATACTAAGGCCTGGACAAGCAAAAAAGGAGAGGCTGGTAAGGGGAGGCTCGGGTAGGGAGCAGGCTGTGCAGCCACAGCCACCCATGACTACTGTTTTTCTTCATTTTTAATTTTTAGTGTGTGTGTGTGTGTGTGTGTGTGTGTGTGTGTGTGTGTGCTCAGGCACCTGCTTGTCTGTATGTGCACCATGTGTGCAGGTGTCCGTGGAGGTCAGATAAGGGTGCCGAACCCCTAGAGTTGCATGCTGTTGTGAGCCACCTGATACGGGTGCTGGGAACAGAACCAGGGTCCTTTGCAAGAGCAGCAAGTGCTCTTAGTCGTTGAGTCACCTCTCCAGCCCCAGGTTACTCTTTTTTTTTTGTCTTTTTGAGACAGGGTCTCCCGTAGCCCCAGCTCGCCTGGAACTCGCTATGTAGACCAGGCTGGCCTCAAAGGCACAGAGATCTGTCTGCCTCTGCCTCCTGAGTGCTGGGACTAAAGGCGTGCGCCACTACGCCCAGTCCCCAGGTTCCTCTTTAAACGCACTTTCACCCCCTGGAGAATGACGTCTAGCCCAGGCTGGCCTGGAACTCCCAACCTCCAGGATGACTTTAAACTTCTGTTCTCAGGCCTCCAAGTCCCCAGGGCTGGGCTCCAGATGCAGCGCTGGGGATGCACCTAGGCCCTAGGTGCACGCCCCGCCCCCCTACCCGCTCCGCCTCCGCAGTCCTCCGCCCTCTCCCCGCCGGCGTAGCAGTCCGGAGGCTCCGAGTCAGTGCTGGGCCCCGGTCAGGACCCGTCCCGGAGCCCAGAGCTCACGCACTCGGACGCGAGGCCTCCAGCGCCGCCTGGACGCGCACCCGGAAATGACCGCGGACTGACCCGGCCCGCCGCCCGTAGCCGCAGGGTGCCCGGATAGCGTACAGCAGGGGACAAACCGTGGAGCGCCCAGAACACCGGTGAGTCCGCCACGCGGGGCCGGGGGCCGGGGTCGCGCCGCCGTCCCGGATGACAGTGCCAATGGAGGTCCCGGAGCCCGGGGGTGCGGGCCGGCCGGGGAGGGGCGCGTCCACCCGCTCTCCAGCGAAGATGGCCCCGGGACGATTGATGGACAGCTCCGTGGTTCTCGGACGCTGAGTCACTGAGTGCTGGCTCAGCACGGGGAAGCCAGGGCCGGGGTCTGCGGCGCCTCCTCTGCCACCGCTGCTTGTTGCTAGATCGCGGACGGAGCTCGGGACCAAGGGGAGTCGCTGCCAGGGCTACTTCAGGTGTGCATGTGGCCATGTCAACCGTCTCCGGCCTGGGGCCTGACTGACGTGAGCACCGAGGGCCCAGATTAGGGTGGTCGGAGGAGGCAGCGGCAGGCGCATCTCTGTGAGTTCAAGGCCAGCCTGGTCTACATAGTGAGTTCCAGGACAGCTGGGGCTACAGGGAGACCCTGTCTCAAAAATCAAAACAAGACTAGGGTGGTCGGGTTGGTAACCAGGACGGATGCATGTTTCTAGTACCCTAGAAAGTACCAGATTGTGTCGGTGTTTGTAGACTAGCCCAGCGGAACTGCGGGAAGCTCTGGTTTCGTTTCCGGTTCAGTTCTGCCTAGAAGTAGTGAATGAGTCACTCGGGAGCACTTTGATCCCAAATCACTGCCCCCCTCCCCCCCCACAAATGGAGCCTGTGCTCGAGGACCAAAGAATCCCTCTCCCACACTAGTCCACGTTTAAACCCTGTGTTACCGCGTCCCAGAGCAGACCAAGCACCAGAATTCTCCTGGTTCCAACAGGAAGAGTTAAAGGAATATTTTGACGGCTGGAATGTTCGATTAGAATTTACCTCTATTTTAGTTTAGGGGTTTTTGGTGGTGGTGGTGGGAGGGACTGAACCCAGAACCTTGAGCTGTTAGACCGGCCATCTACCTGGAGCACACCTCTTTTGGTGTTGGGGATTGAAACATGGCTTCAGGAATTTCACTGATTTCCGAGCTCCTCTTTTAGTTAACCTTGAGTTTGCTTTTACAATACTGGGGGTGGAATCCAGAGCCTCAGGCACTTGAGACAAGGTCTCTACTACTAAGCTGCACCCCTGGCCCTTTAATTTTTAAATTTTGAGATAGGCTCTTGCTAACTTGCCCAGGCTAGCCTGCATCTTATGATTCTCCTGCCTCAGCCTCACAAGTGGTTATGATCACAGAAGAGTGTCACCATTACTCAAATTTTAGTATTTTTAAAAGTAAACTCTGTGTTGGAAAATTTCTGCTTAAAATACTTTCTGCAGCTGGGCGTGGAGTGGCACACCCTTTAATCCCAGCTCGAGGCAGAGGCTGATCATAGTGAATTCAAGGCCAGCCTGGTCTACATAGTGAGTTTCAGGCCAGCCAAAGCTACAAGGAAACCCTGTCTCAAAAAGACCAAAAAAAACAAAAAAACAAAAAAACCCTCAAAGAATGTTGGGAAGGTCTTTGGACTATCATTCTGTTATTTGGTAACTATCAGTGAAATAATTTACATGTAAAAGATATGAGGAAAATCATGCATGGCTGTTTTTCTTTCGTTGTACTTTGTTTTTACACAGGACAAGTTTTGGATTTGGCCCGTCTTTTAATGAAACGGGGGTAAAACCTTCTATACACACAGACTCCAATCAACATCAATAATAACTTGGAAAAGAACAATGTTGTCCTTAAACAACCTGCAAAATGTCATCTATAACCCGGTAACTGATTCTTACCAAATCGCTTTTCCCCTGTAGTAGGATGGAGAGCAAGTACATCACATCATAATTCTCCATTGATGGCTAGGGCATGAGTAGCATTCAGTTAACATCTGTAACGTGCCTACGGTGTGGGACTGTGATGGTGCTGGCCAAAAGAGGGATGTGGTTCTTGTTCTCTGTGGGAGGGAGGACTCATGTGACCACACATGGCAGTAAGAACTGTGGTACACAGAATATGAGATTACATGGAGGGAACCAGCTGGGGCGGGGGGTGGGGGGGCTCAGCAGTGAGGCTCAGACCACAAAAGCATATTTTTTTCTTATCTACACAGTTTTTTCTTCTTCCTTATTTTTATAATTTTTATTTTATGCATATGAGTGTTTTGCCTGCATGTAAGTGTACCATCTGCATGCAATGCCCTTAGAGGCCAGAAGAGGACGTCGAATCCCTATTCAACGCCTCTATTTTTTATTAACTTTGTGTGCATATATGTCCCTGTGTGTGTATGTACATGCCACAATGCCATTACACACATGTGGAGGTCAGGGGACAACTCGGGGGGTCAGTTTTCTTCCACCATGTGGGTCCTGGGGATTAAACTCAGGTCCTCATTCTTGGTGGCTTTACCTGCTGAGCGTCTTGCTCTGGCCCTCTTTTTTTTTTTTTTTTTTTTTTGAGATGGTCTCCCTCTAACCCCAGCTGGAACGCATTACACAGAACAACTCAGAGATCTGCCTGTCTGCCTTTGCCTTCGGAGTGCTGGGATTAAGACGTAAACTACCAAGCTGCCTGGCTGTAGTCTCAAAATGAGAACTGTCCATAAGTTAGTGTGTCAGCCTTCTTCTCCACTTTTCCAATACTGCTTGGCACTCGAGTAGGGAAAGTGTCAGGAGCCCCAGGTGAGAGGGGCTTGAGGAGCGCCCTGTCACTGCGGTGTAGGTGCTGTGAGGAACCAGAGTGACTGTCCACTGGGGAATGCAGTAAACATCCTGCTCCTTCTGCAGACATGGGAAGAACACTGTTCAGTTTTCTGTGCTGGCAAGAATCTTTAGAGATGCCTGTTTTCATCTTACTTGAGGCTCTAGTGGGAACAGAGGGCTGAGGTAGATCAGCTGCTTGTGGTCACCCCTAGGAGACTCCTAGGCAAGGGAGATGGCAGGTCACTGAAGTAAGGTGGAGAGGGAGAGATGAGAGTTAAGTACATCATAGCTGTAATTTCCCCCTAACTTCCAGGGTCATTGGGAAAGAGTGGGGTTTAACCACCGTGTGAAAGAATTCATAGCTTACTGTGACAACGGATTCAAAAGGGAAGACTTACAGAATTTGGCGTCAGTGAAGACACTGAACGATTTTGTGCATGTTGTAGTGGAAAACATCTCAAGATTGTGGACTCCCTGCCAGGGATGACCAGTGGTGTCACCTGGACTGCAGCTGTTCATGGAGTGGAGGGCCAGGTTACATACACTGTGGTCTGGCTTGGAACACACAATAACCCTCCTGTCTCAGACTGTCAAGCGCTAGGATTGCAGATGTAAGCCACCATGTGGGCCCAGGTTATGCCTTTCCCCACAAAACCACACTATTTACATGTTGGTTGGAAACTGCCACACTATTTACATGTTGACTGGAAACTGCCGGCTGCACACACTGATTCTGGAGTGCGGATAATTGCCTGTGATACCTGGGGTTGGCACCCTCTGCTGGAGACCTGATGCAAAAATAAGTAGACATCTTTCCTGAGAAGACAGGGTCTAGAGACCAGCGCTGCTGAGGCCTGGAATGGCTGTATGCCGTCTGTAGTTCAGGATGGCATGTTCCCAAAGGATGTATTTGTGGCAAACAGCCTTTGCTTTGTATTTAGTTCCTGTATTTTATAGTCTGGCTCTCACAAGAGTAAAGAAAGTTAGAGGTTAGGGCAAAGCATGGTGGCACACCACCTTTAATTCCAGCAGCTGGGGGACCAAGGCCAGCCTGGTCTCTCCTGGTAGACATTCACAAGCGTCCATATTTCACTGAAGTTATTCCATATGTAAAAGATTTTGCCCCTCTAGTGACCAAAAGATCAAAAATAATAACAAAGACATTACAAATGACTGATACTTTAGGTTAATCAATTGTATTGTGGTTGTTTCATTTCACCAGGGCTCAGTTCAAAGTATTAGGACAACAGGGTCTTACATTCATAGCCTAGGCTGACCTTGAACTTACAGACCTCTCAGTGCTGGGATACAAGAGTGGCTCACCACACCTGGCGAGATATGATGTAGCGTGACATACAACTCACTCTCTCTCTGTGCCTCTCTCTCTCTCTGTACCTCTCTCTCTCTCTCTCTCTCTCTCTCTCTCTCTCTCTCTCTCTTTTCTCTGTGATTGCATTAAGAACTGCTACCTTTGCAATTTTACCTCATGAATGTTTTAGAATTCTTGGTCCAGGTTGGCATAAGCTCTGTCCATACTAACTCTTCTAGAAAGGATAAGGGAAATATAACTGGCCTTGACTTTTTTTCTTACTTGGCATATTTCTTTCATTAACTCATGTTCACAGAATTCTAAGAATTAAAAAAGCCAGTTTCACTTTCCTTTCCATTCAGATGGAGTAATTTGGAAGGCGTGTTCTTCATTTTATACCAGACGTGCTGTCCGTGGAATCTGTTTGGTGGTAGCTCATTGTCCTCCTATAGATTTTGTGATAGTTCTTTTTGGAACTCTTGGTTTGGCTTGGTTTTGATGAAAGTGTGTGGGGGGGTTCCTCACTTTGTAGCCCAGGCTGCTCCCCCGACAACAGTCATTTTTGCCTCAGCTTCGAGCCACCATATGTGGCCTGTGGTGCTCTTAAGATGTTATTGATTGTTAACAGGCTAAGAGGTTATTTGGAAATGAAATGGGCCTGGTTATTTGTCCTAATTAATCAATCATTCATCAACCTTAGTACTGGCTGGAATTGAAGGATGGATCTGTCCTCTGAGGAGTCCTTTTCTCTCTTCACCCCTGCACGTTCCCCAAGGCCATGGCCTGCTTCACTGACTTACCATCACAGGCAGACAGTATCTAAGTGGCCATAGCCAAATGAAAACCCTGAGCACCAACTCTCCAGAGAGCTTCCACAGCAGAGAACACTCCACGGGGTTCCCTCGGTGGGGGGAGGGGGATCCAAGAACACCAGAACTTGTGCCAGGTTTGCCTGGACTCCGCCCTGTGTCTCTTCCTCCTTGGGCTGCTCCCTGTCCATCCCCTGCAATAACTCAATAGCGAGGAGCACAGCCCTGTGCTGGTGAGCCAGCGAGGCAGGCTATTGTCCCCAGGGTCCCCGGCTCATAGAAAGGAAGCAGGCACTGAGGTCGGCGTCCTGTCAGATAGGTAGCATATGTGTGGGTGCTATCCTGTTGCTGAGGGTGGTGAGTGTCCTCTGGAAACTCAGGTGTAGGCCCAAGCAGAGCCTTTCAAGCAACTTCTTCAAGGGCAGCAGTCAGACCTCCACCTTTGTGCCCACCTCCCAGTCCTTGATTTTTTGTGTATTTAATATAGAATGTCCCACACTGTTTTATTCATCTATATACCCACTTCCCAAATGGCACCCTCCCCCACTGAAGCCCATATACTCTGTCATCCCTGTTACTGTCCACTGTGTTGTCAGTGCCCCCAGCCGTTCCCCAGTGCTTGTCTAGCCGCTGAGTCTACTCAGCCTATCTAGAGGTCTTTGTTTTAGGAGGATCAGCTGTTCCTCATCTAGCAGCAATCAGATGTCAATATTCCTTTAGATAAGATTGGGGTCTGCTGTTCATTTTCCCAGTTCTATGCTGGGTTACTATCTGGGAGTCTCTTGGGCCACCCTGGCCAACAACTCAAAGGAAAGTATCTCCTGTCTGCCATTGTTTCTTGTTATGTAGCCTTTAGCTATACATATGGACTCTTAAAAAATTATATTGACCCCTTTAATCTTTGGTTATACTTTCCTTTTGGGTATTTAAGACCATACAGTTGGCCCAGATAAACCGATTTATCTTTACTCTTTGAATATCTGTTCCTCAGGGGTCACATGGGCTTGGGAGGAGCCCCTGGCTCCTTTCTTTTACCAGTTCCATCTATGTGAAGATAAGTCAAAGGTCCTGCTCAACTGTGGCTTAATTTAATTTTTTAAAAGCTAATTTATGTGTATAAGTGTTTTGCTTACATACAAGCACGCGTGTGTATGCAGTGCCTGCAGAAGCCAGAAGAGGGCGTCAGATCCCCTGGAACTGAAGATACAGGTGGTTGTCAGCTGCCATGTGGCTGCCGGAAACTGAACCCAGGTCTTTTTCGAAAGTAGCCACTGCTCTTAACTGCTGAGCCTTCTCTCCTGCCTTCATTCACATTTTCTTAATCTACTCTGGTGTCTTTATTAATCATCTCTATTCTGTTTTTTAAATAGGAATAGTGAGTTGGGTGTGGTGGTGAACACCTATAATCAGGACTTGGGAGGCAAGAGGACCAGTAGTTGAATCACTCTCCACTACATGACCTTTCTCTACAGTCATGGAGTTTGGTTGGATTGCCCTGGCCCTAATTTTGGTTGTGCAAACACCCGTCTGTGACATTTCTGTTTTTAGACCATCCCCTATGTCGGCACCATCTCTGAGCAGTTGAAGCCTGGGTCTTTGATTGTCATCCGTGGACATATCCCTAACGATGTGGACAGGTAAGCTCTCTGTGTCAGGTGGAAGAACATGGGCCAACTGCTTCTTTGTTGAGAGGCCATTCTGATCCTCCAGGGCTGTCCCAGTGGCCCTGCCAAGGTGCTGGGGAGGTGGGAGGGAGGGAGGATTGGGACTGGTTACTGAACTTGCTTATTTCTGTAAGTCTGACTTCCATATAAAGAATGAGATACAGATAGAAAAGGGAATTGTCGTTGGATCACAGAGCACGTCTTGGTGTAGCCTAACATTCTCACAGCATCTCTAAGACCGTCTCTGGTGGAAGATGGCCCCACAGACACGCCTGGAGGTGTGTGTCCTAGGTGGAGCCAAGTGCAGTCAAGTTGACAATGAAGGCTGACCATCACAGTCCTGTCAGGGATCAGCTCTAAGTTGCTGATATCACTGGTTTAAATAAGATACGGAAAATTATCTCACAGAGACCCTTGAGCTTTACAGTCAGTTCCATTCACGACTTCCAGCTTTTGCACCCCCGGAGGGAGGCCTGCTGCTCAGAACCTTCAGTAGCTAGAAATCCAGCCTCAGTTCTGTGCTTTGAGAGGCTAGGGGGGCGGGGGGGTGCGAAGAGCAGGTACTGCTGCTTTGACAGGTTCCAGGAGTCTCCCTGGCACTTGCCCGTGTTCATTAGCAGAGTTGCAGCTACAGGCAGGCCCAGTCACCAAGACAGTCAGGGGTGGGGTGGGTGTGTCTGTGTCCATTTGACATAGCTCAGGCTGGGGCTCCACTACTAAGGAAGGGGGAAGGGAGGCTGAGGCAGTCTGCCCTAGAGGCCCAGCGGGTGAGAAGGGATCCGATGTCTCTTCCCTGAGGGGTACAGCGTCCTGCTGGGCTTTCCCTGTGGCTGACCTTCGCAGGCTCACAGAGCTCTGTTCTGGCCTTGCCCAGATTCCAGGTGGACTTGCAGCATGGCAACAGCCTGAAGCCTCGGGCCGACGTGGCCTTCCACTTCAACCCTCGCTTCAAAAGATCCAACTGCATCGTCTGCAACACGCTGACGAATGAGAAATGGGGCTGGGAGGAGATCACCTATGACATGCCCTTCAGAAAAGAGAAGTCCTTTGAGATTGTGATCATGGTGCTGAAGAACAAGTTCCAGGTGGGCACCTCATGAGCCAGGGCGGGCATAGGAGCCCTCACGTGTGAGAGCTTGGCATGGCCCCTCCGTGGAGGTCTCAGACCCTTGGCCACCTGGAAATGTGGGTTCAGCACAGCTCTGTCCTCTTAGGTCATGTTCCCGCTGGCAGGCTAAGTTCTTTTTCGCTTCACTTGTTTCTGGGATTGAACCCAGGGCCTCATGAATGCTAGGCAAGTGCTGTGTCACTGTGCTCCTTCCCAGCCCACAGGCTAAGTTCTGAATCGACGCAGCATCACGTCAACTTTAGGAGAGTGGATTAGAAGAACCACCGTCTACAGTGTAGGAAAATCTGCATCGTCGGTCAGTCAGTTGGGGAGGCAGGGTGCACCTCAAAGTCTCCCGTACAATCTCACACACTGTAGGGTTCTGGGGGTGTTGTGGAATACAGCCACTGACCTGGGATGTTTCATCCCTTGAGGGTACATGAGGTGGAGTTTGGCCCCAGTGCCCTCTGCCAGCCTTCAGGCCCACATCGTCTCTGTGGACTAGGGATCCTGCAGCTCCAGTGGGCACATGCACATCTTGGTCCAGGTCTTTCCATCCTGTGGGGCACTGTGGGACACTGTCCTCTGAGCCTCCTACCGTCACCTTGCCATCCTCTGCCCTTCAGAGTGGTCCGTACAGCTGGCCCTGTCCTGCTGGGCCGGGCTTGTTGTATGCAGGGTTTTCTTAATTTTGGTCTTTTTGAGACAGGGCCTCCCTGTAGCCTAGAACTTGCTATGTAGACCAGGCTGGCCTTGAACTCACAGAGATCCGCCTGCCACTGCCTCCCAAGAGCTAGGACTAAAGGTATATGCCACCATGCCCGGCTTGTATGTGGGGTTTTCAAAAGCTCCTTCAGAGTTCCTCCATGTGCTTCTCTTTCCCTCCTGGACTCCAACACCCAGCTAGCATTTGGAGGAGGGAGAAGACGTGTGGTGCCTCTGCCCCGTGTCCAGCACTGTGCTGAGGACCCACACATGCACCTTTTTATCCTCCCTCATGTGATGAAGTGTGAGGCCTTCTCACTTAGATATAAAAAGCAGTCTTGAGCCAAGCGTGGTGGCACACACCTTTAATCCCAGCACTCAGGAGGCAGAGGCAGGTGGCTTTCTGTGATTTCAAGGCCAGCCTGGTCTGCATATCAAGTTCTGGGCCAGCTGGGGCTACAGGGGAATGCTGTCTCAAAAAGACCAAAAAGAGTAAGTAAATGAATAAATGAGCAGTCTCAGTAAGTCAGAAAGCTCACCATGCACATTCACTCAGTGCTCAAGGCCTACCTGTGTGCCTCCCATATAGGCAGGCTCTGTCAGAATATGGCCCTCGAGGAGTGGGGCATCAGGCAAGCGGGGCTAACCTGGTGTCTCACCCTGTAGGCCCTATGTGTGGCTCTTGGGGCCTTAAGCATGTCTGTATCTTGGGCACATACAGATATACACACGTGACACATTTCCAACTGTATGTGCTGTCTCTGGAGAGAGAATCCAGGTGCTTGATCAGATGAAGACCCAGAAAGTTAAAGCCACTGCTAGACAGTGTAAGCAGAAACCAGTGGGAAAGGAGACCAAGGGGACCATTCATTCGTTCTGTCATTCATTCATTCATTTTTGCGGTGCTGATGGTGAAACCTAGGGCCTCACATTAGGGAAGTGCTCCACACAGCAGCACCCCATCCCCAAAGGAAGCCTTAGACTTTGGGTGAGTTGACCCGTTGACCATGTCCTGTCTGCAGGTGGCGGTGAATGGAAAGCATACCCTACTGTATGCTCACAGGATTTGCCCTGAGAAGATAGACACGCTGGGCATTTATGGCAAAGTGAATATCCACTCGGTTGGGTTCAGCTTCAGCGAGGTGAGTCGTTCCTTCCGTACACACCTGGAGGTCTTTTTGGACTGTGTTTTCTACATTCGGTCAGACCAAAGAGTTTTCTTATTTGCATCTTCCACTGAGATATAATAGAAATAGTTCTCTCCTTCACGTATTAGTGACTAGGTGTTGCTCACTGACCAGGGGTTTGTTGTCTGTCTCTCCACTTGACATATTGAGGCAGGGCCTCTCACTTGAACCTAGAGCTCTCCAAGTTAGCTAGTCTAGGTAGCCAGCTTGCCCTAGGGATCCCATCATGTGCAGGGATTACAGATCTGGACTAGTCCAGCAAAGGGAGAACTCTGAGCTGGCCAGTATGTACATGGAAGAACTTGCATCATTCTATATGCCAGTTTTCTGCAGTGAGACGGCTGGGGATTTGGTATTTGGTTTCTTGGACACTGCTAGCTTATCCTGAAGATGTGTTTACTCTCAACAGCTGTGTCCAGCTGTTCACATTCTTGTTAATGTTAGAGCCTGTTCCAAGCTCTCCAGGGTGGGAGACACATGTTAACTGCATTTTTGGATCATAATTTTCAATAACTACTCGTTTTCAGTATCATTGATTTTAAAATATTTTTTATTTTGTGTCCAAGAGTTTTTTGCCTGCATGTATATAGCTGTACCATGTGTATGCAGTGCCCACGGACTCTGGAATGCCTGGAACTGGAGTTACAGATGGCTGTTACCTACATTACCATGTGGGTGCTAGAAAATGAACCTGGGTTTCTGGAAGAGCAGCAAATGCTTTTTGGGTTTTGTTTTGTTTTGTTTTGTTGAGACAGGGTCTCACTACATAGCCCTGACTGGCCTGGACTCACTATTTAGACCAGGCTAGCCTGGAACTCTTGAGAGAGCTGTCTGCCTTTGCCTCCCAAATACTGGGATTAAAGGTGTGTGCCATCACGCCTGGCAGAATTAGTTTTTATGTTTAGTGATGTGTGTGTGTGTGTGTGTGTGTGTGTGTGCACACGCACACGAGTGTAGGTGCAGTGAGGCCAGAAGAGGTTATCAGATCCCTGGAGCACCTTCTCAGCTACTGCCTTCTCAATTTTTGGTTATGTTAGTGTTTGTTAAAGTGTCCTGTTAGATGTTAAAAATTAATCTGTACTGTCTTTTCTGCAGGATTTACAGAGTCTCGAAATGCCTACTCTAAGACTGACACAGGTAAACAGAGGAAATGTAAATACTGCTTCTCTTTATGAACCAGCAGTTTAAAATGCCCTTGGTTGCCATCAGTAGAAGGAAGTTTGTTTTTATTAAGTTGTGATTTCTCTGCATGCATGTGCATTTGTGTGTTCACATGTGCAGGCACGTGTGCACATGTGGAAGCCGGGGGGTCACCTTGGCTTCAGTTGCTCCCCCTATTTTTATTACCATTCATTGTGGGTATGTGTTGTGTGTGTGCTTGTTTGTATGTATGTGGTGACCAGGAGTAGACACTGAGTGTCTTCCTTTCATGCTCCCCTTATAACCGAGGCAAGGTCTCTCATTTGAACCCAGATCTTGCCAACCTGGCTAACCTAGCCAGGCAGCTTTCCCCAGGGATCCCATTGTATGCTGGGATTACAGGCACAGGGTTTGGAGCAGGCCTCCGTGCCTGCCCGCATGTATGTGTGTGAACTCCAGCCCTCCTGCCTGCCAAGTGCTGTGACAGGGGCCATCTCCCTAACCCTTCTTTTTTTGAGACAGGGTCCCTCATTGAACCTGGAATTCACTGACTGGCCAGACTGGTTGTCCAGCAAGCCCCACGGATCCAGTTACCTCCACCTCCCCAGTAGTGGGTTACAGACGTGCTCCCTTGCCTGGCTCTTAGGTGGTGGTGCTGGGATCAACTCAGGTCCTCGTGCTGTGTGGCAAGCACTTCAGCCACCGAGCCATGTCCTCAGCCACTGAAATCATGTTTTAATGTGGGGTCAGGATAAAAGCGAGCATTTAAGAACCACAGTTCACTCTGGTCTTGGGCACTGTGTTTTTGCTAACATGGAACCTGTCAGTACAAATCACCACCACCTTCCTGTGACACGAAAAAAGCCCATTTAGTTTCTGTTGCTGTGATTAAACAGTACAACCAAAAGCAACCGGAGCAGGAAGGGTTAACCTCACCTCACTCACAGCTCCTAGCGGCAGTGTGTGCAGTGCGGCAGTGTGTGCGGCACTGAGAGACAGGGCAGGCTCTCAAGACAGGAGCTGAAGCAGTGACCAGGGAGGATGCTGCTCACTGCTGTGCTCCGTGGCTCATGGTTGGCTGCCTTTCCGGTCCACCTGCCTAGGGATGGCACCACCCACGGTGTGCTGGGCATTCCCACGGCAATGAGCAATCTAGAAAATGCCTCACAGACATGTCTACAGGCCAACTGGAGGTGATTCTTCAGCTGAGGCTCCCTCTTCTCAGGAATGTCAAGTTGACCCAAGATTGGCCAGCACAGCACCCTGTCACTGACTTGTTGGGTGGTGCTGTCCTAAAGCATTTGTAAATACTGCACATCAGTAAATGTGCTGAATGCTACCACCTTCTGGGAGTAAGAGCAGTTTTCAAATTGCCCCTTGCTGTTCTTGATGGAGAAAGCAGGGACTTACCTCTTTGCACATCCAGGCCTACAGGTGGAATGTCATCTCAGTATTTGCAGAGTTCTTGGGAAGGATAGGTAAGATGTGCTTGATTTGTAATCCTTTCAACAACTACTAATTTATGGAGGATAAAGCATTCAGATGAACAGGGATACCACACTCTGTCCAACTATGTTGCCCTTCACAGCTCCATGGCCCTGTCACAAAGCTGTACCTGTGTCATGCCCAGGCAGAGAGGGCACTGACTCAGCCCTTGCTCTGGCTCATCCTGGCCCAGTGCCTGTAGCTGCATCAGGCTGCTCATTTGAAAACATGTTCTTGATTTTTGGGGCTGGAGAAATGGCTAAGCAGTTAAGATTACTGGCTGCTCTTGCAGAGGACCCACGTTCGATTCCCAGCACCCACATGGCAGCTAACAGCCGTCTGTAATTCCAGTTCCGGGGGTCTGACACCCTCTTCTGACCTCTGTGGGCATTGCATGACATGGGTGCACTTACATACTTGTAGGCAGTACATGCATAAAATAAAAAGTAGTAAGTTCTCTTCTTTGTCCCTCACCAGGTACAGAAATCTGGCCTGTCACAGTTGGTGAGTGCTTTCTGCCTTGTTAGTCCACATGGAGTGTTCTGTACATGGCTCAGAAATGAACAGCTGGACCTTGAAGGCAGCCCCCTTTTCTCCATGCCTCACTGTAGAACTGTTTCCTGCAGCCTAGTGATAGAGAAGACCTTTCTAAAACTGTACCCAGAACTTTCTACATCAAGAGCAGAGACTCAGCTGTCAATCACACCAAAATCCTACCTCCCAGCTGTTTGTCTAAGGTTTGAAGAGCTGACAGTTTAACTCTGTATAAGTTAGTGCTACATATAATGTCCACTCCAAGCAGAAGTCCAATGCAGCCTCACCTGTGCTGTCCCAGCACAGACACGAGTCCCCAGGTATATGTCTGAGCCCCTCGTGGGTAGCTGCTCCCATTTAGACGGAATGCTTAGGCCCCAAGCACTGATGACTCCGCTGACACATTACATACAGAAGCACAGGTGCTATTTGGGTCGTATCCCCATTTTGTGGGGTAAAAACATAATCTGAGTGTGTGCTGAGCCAGGCAGTGCCATCCAGGGGACCCAGCAGGGACAAAGCAAAGGTCTGCCCTCCTGGGATTTCAGTCTTAGCCCTTCCTCCATGTAGTTAGGAATTTCCTACAAGTGGCTGTCTGCAGCTGCCTAGTTCTGACTGTGGTCTCTTTTCAGAGCCTGCCATATGAAGCAAGATTGAACTCCGCCATGGGCCCAGGACGAACTGTCGTCATTAAAGGAGAAGTGAATACAAACGCCAAAAGGTTGGACTTACTGCTTCCCCAGGGCCAGAGTGAGCAGTCACCAGGGTGCCTGTGTGCCTTGCCCCTCATTGTGGGCTTGGGGGCTCCTGAAAGGGGGGATGTGACACTGCCAGGGCAGACTGCTGGTAGAGCCGAGACTGAGGGCAGGATTCTGACCAGAGGTGACCTTCCTCTCATGCCCGATACAGCCCTTGTTACCAAACTTCTGCAGCTAAAGACATCATAGCCACTGTCCTCAAGCCAACTGAAACAGCCAAATTATTAAAAAGCAGAAAATTTAATTGTTTCCACATTGGGAGGAAGGACAGAGATCCAGTGACCCTCTGAGGTCCATCTTCAGGATCCTGAAGTGGGATTAAAGTTTAAATAGAGGGCCAGAGCTATGCACATCAAAGCAGCCTGTCAAGGTGTGGTCCTGCCCACCACTGACCATCTTTATCTGGGTTTCAATCTCATCCTATAAGGTGGCTGGCAAGTTCCCCCTGTGGCTAGTGCCTTTTCCCTCTCCTAGCAGGACCATTTCTTGTGGTCTGTTGTTTGAGTGGTCCGACAGATTGAGGGAACTTCATTTCTCCCAGGCCAGTTACACCAAGGAGGGGGAGAGGGGTGCTGTTACCTTGTGACATAGAACATTTCTGCCTTAAGAATCTTTCTCTGGAGGCTGGGGAGATGGCTTTGGGAGAGCTTGGATCAGCAGCACCTAAGTGAAAGCTGGCTGTAAGTAGCACAGGTCTGATAGCGCTGGGAGGTGCAGGCAGGAGGGTCTCAAGGGCTTGTGGGCCAGCCAGCCTCTCCAAGTTCAGGGAGAGACCCCATCTCAAAATAGAGGGGCTGGAGAGATGCTCAGCAGTTAAGAATGTACTGCTCTTGCAACGGGACCATATTTGATTTCCAGTACCCATGTTGGGCAGCTCACAACTGCCTGTAACTCCAGCTCTAGGGGAATCCAATGCCTCTGGCTTCTGTGGGTACACCTACACTCATGTGCACAAACACACCTGATTTTTTGAAATTCGATTGAGAGTGATATTGGAAGCCACTAATGTCAACCCATGGCTTCTATGTACTCACCACCCCATGCATTCACCGCATGCACTCACCCCCACATACGTGCACATGGGAATCTTTTTGACTATGTCCAAACTTTTGGAAAGCGTGAATGAGCTGTTTTCATACAAAGGACTAGATGGACGTAGGAGTGCCTGCGTGGGGTCCAAGCCCTGCAGCCCAGAGCTGCCATCAGGTCACAGCCTCCCAGCCTCACTTGTTGCTCAGCTACCCTCCTGCGGCGCGGATTGCTCTCAAGTTGCATGGGAGAATGCAGAGCTGGAAGTCCCCTCCCCTGTGCTGCCATGCGCATGCACATGCCCACGTTGCAGTTAGGACCGTAGTTCAAGGGTGAGTGTTAAAATCACATGGCTCTCCCCTCCTTGGTTAATAACATCTTGCTTTTTTCTCTTAAAAGCTTTAATGTTGACCTGGTGGCAGGAAAATCGAGGGATATCGCTCTGCACTTGAACCCACGCCTCAACACCAAGGCATTCGTGAGAAACTCCTTTCTTCAGCATGCCTGGGGGGCAGAGGAGAGAAGCATCACCGGCTTCCCGTTTAGTCCTGGCATGTACTTTGAGGTAAGGTTGTTTTCTGGAAATGGGACGGGAGAAAAGCTTCCAGGAACAGGGCCACTACCTAATCCATCCAAATCAAGTCTTACTTAGTATTTTGGGTGTTTGTTTACATGGGGGTTATAGTCAGGACACCCTCCTGCCTGCCACCGTACCTGCCTGTGTTCAGACTGGCAGGCAGGAGGGTGGTGTCCTATCTTCGTCAGCATCACCTGACATTTGCCATATTGAAAATAACTGTAGCCCACTGCTTAGTAAAAATTTTGGCTGGAACTATATGTAAGAAATGAAACCACATGCATACCTTTTTTTATATGCATATGGTTTATGCATGTATGTAGTGTGTGCACTTGTACATGCATGTGTGGGGGCCAGAGGCTGACATTAGGGAATCCTCCTGTCACTCTTATTTTTTGAAACAAGGTCTCATTGAGCCTGGAGTTCAACAGTTGGCTAGAGTAGCTGGCCAGTAAGCCTCTGGGGTCCTCCTGCTCATGCTTCCAAGCATTGACTGGGATTACAGGTGTGTCCCACCATACCCAGTCCTTTACCTGGGGGCTAGAGATCTGCAGGCCAGGTTCAGGCTTGCACAACAGTGTTTTATTCACTGAGCCACTTCCCCGCCCCACGATGTGCTTGTAAGTCACCTGGCTGGGATCCCTGAAATTGCTGCTTGTACTATCCATGCCTCTTTCCGAGAGCTGGTACTTTTTGTAGGTAGTCAAGCACTGCACATCAGACTTTAGGGGCCAAAAGGCATGTGCTGTTAATACTTGGCTTTTCCCAGATCCTTTCTGGGATGCTGCTGGATGGTGACATGTCCTTGGGATGTGGATGCTGGGTGGCTGCCTAAGCTTTCTAGCTAGCTTAGTGACTGACTGCCTCACGTGGTCTTAGAATCATTGGTTTAGTTAGATGCTTTACAATACTGTTTTGAGACAGGGTTTCCCTGTAGACCCAGCTGGTCTGACTCAAGAGATTCACTTACCTGCCTCTGTAGTGTTGGAATTCAAGGCACGTGCCGTCACGCCCAGCTCTTTACACTGTTTTAAACCCACATGCTCTGAATTATTGAAGCTCTCAGGGCCTGATCAAGCTGCTGGGATCTCATGAATGGACATGTCCAAGACCCTGGCATCTGAGGCAGGACAGTCAGGGTCCAAGTGGAGAGATCAACAGCTCTCCTCTGTTACTTCCCCAACATCACAAGGAGGAGTGGTTGTCTCATGCACACCAGGCATAGCACAGGGCGGGGGCGGCAGAGGGAGGATGTGAGCAACTCTGCAGTGGGCACCATCACACTTGGGGATTTGGATCTTCAGAGAAATCACTCAGAGGGGAAATCAGCAGTAGAAGGGAGCAGCGGGGGCAGCGGGGAGGAGGGTGGGGATGGGACTGGGCAGGGATGGACAGATACAACTTCCCCAGGCTCAAAGCAAGCCATATGTTTTTTGTTTTTCCTTTTGACCCTGCATTTTTACATAGAAATGAAATTTCAGACTCAGGGCAGCCAGTGACAACGCATCTCCTTCTGTCCTTTCAGATGATAATTTACTGTGATGTCAGAGAGTTCAAGGTTGCAGTGAATGGTGTGCACAGCCTGGAGTACAAGCACAGATTTAAAGAGCTAAGCAGTATTGACACACTGGCCGTTGATGGCGATATCCATTTGCTGGACATAAGGAGCTGGTAGCCACCATGACTGTCACAAACTCCCAATACAAACAGCTTATGTGATCCCAGCACATCACATGCATCTCGCTGTCACTACATTACTTATGTTGAGCTGAGCTCTCATAGCATCACGTCCTACCTGGTGTTCTCAGGCCATGCAGTGTGGCTACCTCTATCTTTGAGGGAGCAGACCCAGGGCATTTATAGCTTCCTGCCAGCAAGGCTCTGCACACTGGGCCGCCCCTTGTAAAACTACACTCAATTTTTACTAAGTGCCCATGGTAACACAGCAGCGTAGGGATGGAAGGCATACTTCTGTACATATTATCTGAGCTAGGCAGATAGTGCTGTGCCCAGGACCACTGTGCCCCTGTTCTCTGGAGCTCAGGCCTGTGGCCTCCCAGTGCAGGGTCTTCCTGCTGACATCGCATTAACTCATCTGGGGTCCTTCAGGGTTAAGGTCAGATACTACTACTGGATAGCAAACACTGTTTCCCCATGATCCTTTTTACAGTCAGCATTCTATCATATTCATAATTGAGGATCACATAAGCTTTAGCTTCCCAGCTACAGAATTTATAAAATAACATGCGGCAGAGAAACTGAGGCAAAAGCCTGAAGCAGGACAAGACCATCCTGCCGTGGGAATGGACTCTGCTCTTCAAACCCAAGGCCGGGGTGTGTGCACCTGTGGTAAGTGGGAAGCCAGATGGTGCAGTCTGCAAAGCCCTTTTGGGCAGCTGAGTGATCAAGACAAGACTTAGTAAATGTGTTAACTAGGCACTCCCAAAAGCTGAACCCACACAGACCAGTGAAGCAGGCACGTAGTGCAAAATGTTCTGTTCTCAGTGAGTCCGAAGAGGAGTCTGTCATCAGCAGGAAGATCAAAATGCGCCACAAGGGGTTAAAATCAAGCCTGTGTCAGCAAGGCAACTGCTGCGATCTGAGCTGCTGCTGGAAGAGTGGGCAGCAGCTCAGGGAGCGTCTTCACAGGTCAGGTCACCTCGTCATACCGACCACTGGACAGGACTCTGCCAGCGTGCAGAGTACCTTCATGGCAGATTTGGTTAGCTGTGTTACTCACATCCCGGAAACCAGAGCATTACCAAGTTTAGGTTTAGAAAATACCTACTGTAGTATCTGCTAGTCCTTCATTCTTTTCCTGTACTTTACTATGCGGATTCGTGCTGTACTTACGATGTGGGGGTATGGAACAGGGAAATCTACAGGAGATGAGCAGCTCTGCGATCTCCTCAGAGTTGTTTCTTCTTCATGAGGAGGGCATGGCTAGGACTAAGATGTTGGAGTCCAAAAGGCACTTGGGTAAAAATAAAAGTCCATCATACGCTTTCCTCACTTGTTTTGCATGAAACTATTAATACTGACTTTAAATTTTTTTTCATTTTGTGTGTGTGCATGTGCGTGTGTAAGCGTCCATGGAGGCTTGAGGCATCGGATCCCAGAACTAGGGTTACAGGCATCCTAACTGCCTGACACGGGTGCTGAGGTCTGAACTCGGGTCTCTGGGCAAGCAGTATGTGCTGTTAACCACTGAGCCTTACTCCTAACTGTAGAATGGCCTTCTGCTTGTCATAATTCTGCATTAATTTTTTATTAAGTTAGAATATTCTATGGGATAATGCCAGTGCTTCAGAGGCAGACTGGTTCAGTTCTGTTTGAGGACCCCCACTTTCCAGCCTCACCACAACACTAGACAACTTCAAAACTGTCACTGGCTTGTGGCCCCCTCCCTTCCTGTGTCATCAGTCAGATGTGGGCTATTTCCTCAGCAGCATACTGCCCCTCCTGGCCAAACTGCCCTCCTCTGCAGGCTCACATACAAGGCTGAGCTGCCAATCCAGTCAAAAAGAAAACCAGGGGCTGGAGAGATGGCTCAGTGATTAAGAACACTGGCTGTTCTTGCAGAAAACCTGGGTTCGAATCCCAGCACCCACATGGCAGCTAACAACCTAGTCCCAGGGGATCCGACAGCCTCTTCTGACCTCTGCCGGCATCACACGACATGGGTGCACTTACCTACATGCAGGCAATACACACATACACATAATATAAAAATAAAATATTAAAAAAAAAACAAAACCCAAACTAAAACGCCAAGTGGCTGGAGCGAAGCAGAAGCCGTTCTGCATGGTGCTATTCTTTTGACCTAGAGTGATACAGCAAGTGAGGGGGCTGAGAGAGAGAGAGGGTGCTAGTCTTAGGTTCTGAAACGTGCCTCATTAGGAACACCACTCAGAACAGACACAAATGGTGACAGTTTATATAAAAACTGCCCGTTTACTCCTTAGCAACTTTGTACAAAAAGACATTAAATATCATCAGGGGTCAAAAGTACCAAAAGTAACATGGCACCACGCCCCTCAAAGTAAAAATAGAAAAATGGAACTCTTCACAGAGTGCGCAGCCTCAGAGGCCTCTGCATCAGAAGTAGCTCTGGAGCGGCTCCCCCAGCACAGCCTCCAGCTGCTGGATGGTCTTCTGGCACTGATGTTCTACTTCTTCACACTCATCTGAGGGGGAGACGGAGGGTTACCGGTTACCACGGGGTAAGAGACTATTAACACTGTGCTCGCTGTTCCGGGCACAGGGGCAGGGCAGGACCCAACATTCAAACCTGTGTACAGGATGCTGCTGTAGTCAGTCACAGAGTTTGGGACTTACCTTCCATCAGTTCCGCCAGGAAAGGAATGGACTCTGGGAGCAGGACGATGTAATTCTCCCGCAGCTTTTCAGCCAGCGCTAAGACAGTAATTAAGGCTGCAAAACGCACCTGGAAGAAGCCAAGGCCTCAGTGAGAAGGCCATCTCATCACACAGCTATTCACCAGGGACCTGGCGGACTGGATACGCTCCTCTTAAGGAGACATTATTTCACATCGTGGCTATGCCCAATCGACTTCCATCCTAGAATAACACTATTTAGCCATCTGGAATCTATTTGGAGTAAGAGTAACCTTACACATCTGTGTTTCTCAAACTGTTTTAACTGTAGCTCTCTTTAAAATGTGAATGTCTTTTTATGTTATTTTCCTTTAAAAACAACAATGAAAAAACAACAAAGAGCCCAGTGACTGAATTCAGTCCCCAGAACCCCTATGGTAGCGGAAATGAACCGGCCTCCAGAGTTGCTATCTGACCTCCACATGTGCACTGTGGCATGCACGTGCCGCTTCCCCCACAAAATACATGTAAAACCAGGTGGTGAAATGCCACGTGCACACAGGGTGTCACAAATGGAACTACAGTGGTGCTGGGCTCACTGGCCTGCCTGAGATGGTGCTGATCTGGTGGTGATGCTGATCTGGCGGTGGTGCACCTCCACCACCTCTGGAACCCCCCCTTCCCAACTCACCTACCCACTGTGGTCACAACAATCATGCTGGAATCTAAGACACCAAAAATGGGGTGTTTCTCAACACACCTCAGCCATGATGAGGAATGCAATCAGTTACTAACACTGACAGCAAATCATTTCGAACCAAACACCCTTTTTTCTAGTTTGGAATAATTTCCATAACTATTTACATTGAGTCAAGATTTTCTTGATCACATGCAACCAAAATAAAATACTGAAATAAATCTGATGCTGCAGTTTATGTAAGAACCTATGATAGCTTCATTGGTTTTCTGTCCTAATTAACAAATGCTGCCAATTTAAACTAATAATAAACCCTAGTAATAAAAGTCTGCTGTGGTCTGTTTTACCCAGTGAGGCTCTAATACAAGTCTGTGAGATGGTGCTTGTTAGTAAGACAGCTGGGAAACTCCAGGTAGGGGACATGCCATGGCTCTCTATTTCTACAGCCTCCATACGAAACAAAATCAACTTCGTGTACAAAGGACATGATGTAACAGACACCAAAACCACTGCTGTCAGGGGCACAGTGATGTTTAAGTGGCACTTAGAAAAACAAGAAATGCCGGGCATATTGGTGCGTGCCTTCAATCCCAGATCTCTGGAGGAAGAGGCAAGTGCACCGTGGTGCCAGCCGGCCTGGTCTACATAGCAAGTTCCAAGCCAGCTGGGGCTACATCAAGACACTTGTCTCAAAAAACAAAAACACAATGAATTACTTCCAAGTTTTTATTATTTGAGACTTAGAAAGTAGCTTGCACCTACCAATCCTAGGGGTATGGATTTGTGATGGCTACTTATGAAAAACAGAAAAAATAAGCAATTCTTTATGTGTGTATTCTCTATATGTATTTTTTATGGGGGTAAGTGCATACACATACGAAGGCCAGAGGTCAACCTCAGGTTCTTTTGAAATGTACTCTTTCTGTTTTACCTGGAACTCCCTGATAGGAGCTACCATGCCTAGCTCTTGAACATGGGTTTTAGGGACAAGCGTGGGTCTCATGCTGGCATAGCTAGATTTTATCAACTGAGCCATCTCCCCAAGCCCTAGAATTCTATACAACAAAGCAGACAACTCCAAAAGCCAGCCCTTCCTGTTAGTGCCCTGGGGCCAACACCCAAGATCCTAGTAAGCACTTAGCCACACTCATGGGAGGGTGGCTGGAGCCTGGGGCCCACAGTTCTCACCTTGGGGGAAGAGTCTCTTGTCTTTAACAGAATCTGGTAGTTCAGGGGTTTCCACATGGAGTCATCTGCCATGGCCACAGAGAATTGCGCAATGCAAGGCACAAGATGCTTTGTCACCCGCTCCTGGAACCGCTCTTCTCCCCCAAGCCTGTTTTCCAGCTGGGAAGAGTGAGATGAGGGCTGTCAGTGGCGGGCTGCACCTTCTTTCTGAAACATCGCTGGTGTGTATTGTACTCTCGCACGGCAGCAGTAGGCTCACAAAGTACATCCTACTCTAGTACTGTCTCTTGGGCCAGTTTTTCCTCCTTTGGAACTCAAACAGCTGCAACAATCCTTACATCAAGCTTTCCCTCCAGAAGACCTGGGGAGTACTATCCTGTGGGGGCAGTCAACCCTGAGACATGACCAGTGAGGCCTAGTTAACCACAACTAACGCAACTTTTTAATGGATAAAGTGGCCATGCATTAACTGTCAACTTGACACAGCCTAGAATTACCTGAAAAAGGCCATTCTCAATTGAGTAATTAACTTTATCAGTTGGTCTGTGACAGGCTGTTTTGACTGTTAGTTGATGTGAGGGGGCCCAGCCCACTGTGGGGACACCCCTCCCCGGGCAGGTGGTCCTGGACTATATGAAGAATCTAGGTGACCACGAGGCTGAGTACGCAGCGTCCTTCATGGTCCCTGCTCTATAGTGACAGGTGGTAAATAAGCAGAGACAAACTCTTCTGCCCTAAGTTGCCCCAAGACCTTGTCTTCCTTTTGAAAAACTCAATAGTGAAGAAAAATCTATTTTGAATAACCATTTTATAAAAAGACCCTTCCTCCTTAAACACCTTTTAAAAAGCTGTGCGAGCTGTCATTTCGCATACATAAAGCCTACAGAAACTGACCCAGGAGGCCTCAGTGACAGCGGGCTGTGAGTTACCTGATCCACCAGGGGCATCATCAAGGCTTCTGTCCTCTCTCTACTCATAAAATGCTGGGTGTCGAAAAGGAAGATCTTATATAAGCAGTTCAGTATGAATTGCAACAGCAAACAGCACTTCTCAGGGTCATGTTCGGAGTCAAAAAATGCTTCATCTGTAGATGCAAAGAGAATGAAAACAGAAAAATCACAGTTTAATCTCCAGCACATAACAGCGAATTGCTACTAAAATAATTACAACCAGAAGACTGTCACAAATTATCTAGAAAGAAATCAAGACAGAAGCAAAATGGATGGTCTCTTAGAGAGTGTTTTCTTTTTGGCAAGTGGCTAAGATTCTGATGCCCAGTGGGCTAGTTAAATTATTTACCATGAGTCACGTAGGTTGCACAGGAGACAGACAGATCTGAATGTGGAGATGGAACCCAGAGCCTCACCCATGCCAGGGAAGCACTTGGTCAGCGAGCTCCTTCCGCAACCCAATGTACTACTGCAAAGTCATTCCCAAGACCAATACCCACTAGCTTTACTCTTGCTCCTGAGTCAATGATTACTTGTGACCCTCCATTGTGTCAGGATGACAATAAAGTACAAGCTCACTTTCCTGAGCAGAAAAGCCAAGAGCCTTCCATCTTTTCTGAGCGCTGGCAGTCTCATGCTAGCCGCTTGTGCAGGATGCACAGAGCAAGTCTGTGCACAGAGCCAAGGAGCTCCTACCTGTTTTGGAGATGTTCACTTGGTTCAAGGTGTCTGCAAAGGGCTTTACCAGGTGACCAGCAAACAGAGTGAAAAGGCCCTTCAGTTTCTCAGCTATGCGGTCAGCCAGGTTGTAAAATGTCAGCAGCCTGTCCTTAGGGGCATCTTCTGTCTTGGCCCAATCAAACAGCTACAACCAAGAGAGAACACTGACATCATCTACTCATCCTGCCGCTTACAGTTAGAGGAGATGCAGGAAGAAAGCCTCACCTTGAAGAAGAGAGGTCTGAACGTGGCCTCCGAGAGCTTCACCACCATGGCCACCAGGCAGTCAACGATCCAACGTTCTGCTTTCCCAACTTCCTCCAGATCATCCTGAAAATGAAAGACCAGATTAGACAGCACAAGCTCTGGCAAGGATGACAGGCAGGTGGCTAGATTTTCCTCTGGCTCTTGCACAGAGAGATGACGACTCCAGGGTGAGGGGTGTGAGGACCAGCTCACCTCTGAGTGCTGTGCCCGAAAGTCCAGGGCCTCCAGGAAAAAGGTAGTCAGCTGAGCCTGGTGGGACAAGAGCTCTTCTTTCTTCATCACCCCAATGTGCTCCTGCAGGACGCTCATGAATGGGCCCATGTGACTCTATGTGAACATAGCAAAGAGCACCAGGTTGGTCGTCTTGGAGTGCAACGTGTTCTCACCGGCAGTGAACGGCCCTATGCTCCCGGAGGCAAACACGTAAACACTTCGGTGCCACCCTCCCCTCTCCAAAGTCCAACTGAATCGGACCTTACCTTCCAGTTCTTTTGGATCTGCTTGAAAGTTCTGCTAATGGCCGGCAGTAGGACGCGCGGCGCGAGCCTGGTGGCCAGGGTCTTCTTAAGAGATGTGAGGCGGATGCTAGCCTGTGAGGCAGAACCCATTTCACTAGTGATTTTCTCCAGATGAATCACCTATAGCAACAGAAAGTAGCAACTGAGGACACTGGACTATGCTGACAAACACACAGAGACAGGCCTGCTGATGACAGGAAGCCAGAGCAAATGCTACAGGGCACTTCAGCCACAGAGAGTTTCTTTGAGCCAGCATGACTGCCTGCACACCAGACTGGTCAGATGTCTCTCTCCACTGGGAGCCAGGGAAATGGGGGCAGAAAGGAGCACAACAGAACAGTAATAACCAGGGCAACAAGAGCCCCACAGTAACAGGCATTTACCATTAGAAATGCTACCAGCTCAATGGGTCAGCAGGCAACCACTCACCTGCAAATGAGCAATTCCACTATGGGAAATACCTTCCACTTAAAGAGAGCTTTCACATCAGAACCACGGTTAGTCACACTAGTTTTCAGAGCAGGCAACTCTCCCTGCCCACCCCCAAAGATCCCAGAGGCAATTAAAATACAGTACATTCTGTCAGTTAAAAAACAGAAAAGCCTCACTAAAAAGGGGTCCCCAAGTTAATTCCAAGATGAAGCAGAAGGGACCATGAAGAAAAAAAGGCCCCTGTTCAACAAACACTAAAACCTCTATTCAGAAATGAGAATCCCATCAACCAGAATTGAACACTTAAAGAAGCAGTAAGATGGTAAAACTCTGCTCCTGGCTACCCTGTACAGAGTCATCGTGACAACAGTCTACAAACCTGGGTCAGAACCCCTTGCAGGTAGGGGCTGATGAAGTGTGGCAGAGTCTCCACAACCCTGTGCAGGGCGGCTAGGGTGCTGAGCAGGCAGACCTCACTGTGGACCAGCTCGCTGGTGCTCTTCACAGCTGTCAGCAGCGATGGCATCAGGCTGGCAAGAGAGAGCAGGTGCTCAGAGCCACTCTGAGCCTCACAACACTGACGAGCGAGCTGGGGATGCTAGAAACCCCCCGACCAACTGTGCCGGCTGCAGCACTATCCCATAATGCACAGAACACATGACTTAGCAAAAGAAATCTGCAGTGCCAACAGCTCTGACACACTGTAACTATAAAAATGCCTCAGTTACTGAACGAGGTGATGGAACGACATGGGATCCTGGCCAGCCCTACACAGAGAAGCCCACAGGGCTAGGCAGGAGGCTGACAGGTACATAATACCACAGCTACGCAGCTGGTTCTGGTCAGAGCCAGAAGCAGAGCAGCCACCTTCCCTCTGTGGCAGCATAAGGCCAGCCTGGCCAACGGCGGAATGACAGTACTGCTTCCCAGGCAGACTCCTAGAAGGAGCAGGAACAGCTCTCGGTGTGTCTGAGTCACAGCAGTGCTGTGACACAGGTCAGGAGCCGTCTCCAAGGTTCCACCTTCCTCTGCTGCAGCAGCTCCTGTCCCACACTCCAGCAGCGGGCATACCTGGGAAGCTGGGGCACGGCCAGTGCTTCCAGGGCAGAGGTCACCTCTGCGATACACAGCAGGGCGCTTCCCAGGACATTCTTCTCCTCCTTTCTCTCAGGATCAATGAGCTTCACTGCAGCACTCAGCACGGGGATGAAAGCCTCTCGGTTCTCAGTTCCAAAGTTCTTGCACAAGAGCTTCAGCGTGTACAGGGCTGTCTGTCTGTTTATGGCCTGTTCCTCTTCCGCTTCCTTTTCCTTGGGCTGCACGGTGGCTAGAAGGACTGGAACCAGCTTTAGGAAACGGTAAACCTGAAGACAAAATGGCCAACATGCCCCAATCATTAGAGCACGAGGGCCAGTCTCCCCTTCCGTCCTCCTCGCCTGGGCCTGTCTGACTGGAGCCAGAATGAAGGGCCCCAAACACAGGACCACACTCGAGACAACTGTTCCTCCACCAACCCCCGCCCCACCCCCATCTTCCAGCACTAAGAAGTTAAACAAGTGCTCTACCACTGAGCTGTAACCCCAGCCCTCTTTCAACTATTTTTTTGAGACAGGATCTCACTAAGTTGCCCAGATTAGCCTGGAACTATGTAAGATGCCTCCTCAGAGCTATCACGCCTCATTCTATCTGCTTTCTTTACTTCGAAGCAAATGCACGTGCTGTCTGACCAATTTCGTATCCATACACATACAGCACCCCAGTAAGAAAAGGAGAGTAAGTTATGTGACAGCTAAGGTGATGCCTGGCCCACAGCAAGCAAGAAGTGCAAAGGCTGATTCCATCCCGAGAGCTGAGTTAACAGCACAACTATGTTTTCACACACACACACATCACAGTACACATTCAGACAGCAAGTTCCTTGAGGAACTTGCAGAAGCTCTGTGACCAGCAGAAGGAGGTGTGTGGGCGCACTGGGTCCACTCACTGTCCTCTTCGTCCAGGATGTGGTCTGCTGCAGCCTGTTGTTCAGAAGATCTAGGGCTTTCCTGCGCACAGACGGCAGGGGGTTGCTCACCAGCCCTCTGACCACAGCAATGAATGTTTCTGTAGGCAACAAGGCATTGACCTAGAGAGAAGATTATATTTAACACAAAGGGAAAACAGAGCAGCATCAACTCTAATTAAGGAAGACTTGTTTTTTTAATGAACTTTGAGAGAACATGCTACTATGTAGCCTCAGCTGGCCTGGAACTCAGTAAGCAGCCCAGGGTGGTCTTAAACATGGATCTTCTAGCCTCAGCTTCCTGATGGTCAGACTACAGGCACGTACCATGCATCATGATGACCAGCTCAGACTTCCACTCACTGGCGGCCTCTGACACCAGGTATCTTCAAACATGCTTTCTTAAAACAGTTCTCACCATGCCTCTCAGGCAGTCATTACTAACCACAAATAAAACAAAGTCAAAGCTAATGCAAAAAGGAAATAAACCATTCCAGGCCATAGAGTTGAAAGCAATTCTAATTTCAAGGTCAATCGATTATCTACTGTATCTCATTGATATTTTAATTTTATGTATGTTACGTCTTTTGCCCGCACGTACATAGATGCACCACTGTGCGTACAGTGACTGCAGGTCAACAGAGGGTACCGGATCCCTAGGAACTGGAGTTATAGACAGTTCTTAGCCTCTGTGTGGGGGTGCTGGGAACCAAATTTAGGCCTTCTGTAAGAACAGCAGTGCTCTTAACCGCCATCTCTCCAGCCCCTAATTGGTGTTTTTATATTCTCCTACTTCAATGAAGTGGAACATTATGTATTACAGGATCAAATATTGAGTTCATTAGATCGACTGTGGCAAAGGCTGTTATAATTGGTAAGGAAATACTGTTTTCCAGACAAGCTTTGCTTCTGGACATCAGGATTTTCTTTTCAAGAAAAACCTGAGTCTTAATATATTAAGAAAAGGTATTGGTAAATTTCAATTTATTCTTTTTGTTTATTTTGTTTTGTTGAGACAGGGTCTCCCTGTAGCCCCAACTGGCCTGGAACTCACTATGTAGACCAGGCTGGCTACCTGCCTCTGCCTCCCAAGTGCTGGGATGAAAGGTATGTGATATCATACCCAGCTTAAGTTTATTCTTAAAGTGAACACTTAAGTTAAATAATCTCACAATGACACAAAAAACAGTGACAGACACAGTCATGGGGGTAGGGGGACACAGAAGCCTACCTTATCTAGCAGGTCATAAGCTTTGCTGAGCAGTGCTCTCCAAAACTTCACAGTCAGTTTGTCTGAATTCTTTTCCATGGACTGTGCTACGGTGTTGATGTAGCCAAGGACTGTTTCTAGCAACCTAAAACATGAGAGGCACACTCAGGTGGCAGTTGATGATGCCCTGAAAGAGCCTCAGTCATGAGAAAGCTTCAAACAGAAAAGGCAATTCAGTGACTTTTATAAGACTATTTGTTAGCAGGGCATGGTGGCGCACGCCTTTAATTCCAGTACTCGGGAGGCAGAGGCAGACGGATCTCCGGTCTACATAGTGAGTTCCAGGACAGCTGGGGCTACAGAGAGGCTCTGTGTCAAAAAGAAGACCATCTCTTACTGTCAGAAGTACATACTAAAGGACGCAGGGCAAAGCAAAGTGAGACTTGGCTTCAGGCAGCTGAGGCAGTAACATGTACAGTGAGACTGTGTACAGTGAGACTGATGGAGCAGCTGGGCCTGGTGGTGCACACCATCAGTCCTAGCTGAGGGGCGCAGAGGCAGCAGGAGTTCCGGGGGTTCAAGGCCAGCAAGGTCCAGGTCAGCCAGGGCTACAGTCAGACCTGTTCTCAAAACAAAACTAGACAAAACACCAATACACATGCATGTACGCACACACACACGACAAATCACATGGGCAAAGTGACAGTGAACATGGCCAAAGTGGATCGTACATCTGTTTCATTCTTTGAGTTTGAAATTACACCCCCCCACACACAAAAGGAAAGTAGGCGTACCTCTGTTCTAGGCCTTCTAAGATCTTAGGACCACCACTCTCAACCACCTAAGAGGTAAAGGCCTCGTTAGAACAACATGGAAGTTGATGATGAAGTCATTTGAAGTAGGTTAAAACTTAGATTAGTCCCACAAACCCCCCACTGAAACTGCTTTTGACATCACAACTGAATTGGGCTCAGATTACCCTCGATGGCTGTAGTACTCCCTTTTTTTTAAAAAAAAAATATTTTATTATTTTTATGTGTGAGCGTACTGCCTGCATGTATGTGAGCACACCCACGTCGTGCAATGCCCGCAGAGGTCAGAAGAGGGCATCGGATACCCTGGAACTGGAATTATGGACAGTTGTTAGCTGCCATGTGGGTGCTGGGAATTGAACCCAGGTCCTCTGTAAGAGCAGCCAGTGCTCTTAACCCCTGAGCCAACTCTCCAGCCCCAGTACTCTACAACTGTATTTGTAGTTATCTGTTAAGTATGGCAAGATCCAGACAGCCACAGTCTTCTGCTCCCTGGGCCACCCTTCCATGACCCCAGGCCACTGAGACAGCCTGCACCTGCTGTTAGGTCCCGAATACCACTAACTTACCATCAGTGTGGGGACCTACATTGCTCTAGTTCCTTCATCAGTCACATGGCACCACCACATCTCATGTCCGTGCCGTGTCTCTGTATGAACAGCTACCGTTTCTGCCATTTTGATGGACAGCAAGGGGGCACCTCACCTAATCTGCACGCCTACCCTGCTCCCTGGGGCGCATACATTCTATCATATTAACTGGCATTTGTAATTCTTGCATCACAGCCATGTTCTTTGCTGGTGCTGTAATGGACGCATTCTTCCCGTTCCCCTGAGCAGCGGTCAAGGCTGCAGCTCTCTCCACGTTGCTTTTGGCGACTTTTCATTGAATCTGAATTTTAAGATAGATTCTCCTCTGGCCACAGTATCACTCTCCTTGATTTTCTCTTAAAGTTTTAAGTGTTGCTTTCACAGTGAAGTCTTTACCTAAAATTATCTACTACCCATGGTTGAGATCACTACCCGCCCAACAGAAATTAAGTTGTGCCAGCATCAGGACCTGCCGGGCCAGGCCCTTCAGCTCTGCCACGTTCCCTGCCCACCTCCACCAGGGTGGTTTCTTGGCTTGCTCTGCTCACACTGGCCTTTCTGATGACTCTCCCTCTACCACTGACCTCTGACCTTCAGTATTTTGGGATCAGTGTGTCAAGACTGTTTTAAAAATAAATGGAACTGCAGAAGTGCATCGAATTTCTAGGTTGGTCTACAGAGACAAAAACCTCTGAACAGTGAGTCTTTTCTTAAAAATAATTTTATTTATTCTATGTATATATGTGTGTGTACAGTGGAGGTCAGAGGACAACTTGGAAGTCAGTTCTCTTCTACCTTGTGGGTCCTAGGGATTGAACTCAGGTCATCAGGCTTGGCAGCAAATACCTCTATGTACTATCTCCGCGGTCCGACAATGAGTCGTCTTATTGTGAACGCAGTCTCCTTCTGTTTTCCAAGTATTAGTTTGTATTCTTTAACATTTTAGAAATTCTTTCATAATATTATTGCCTACATTTTGCTAGGCTGAATTTTTAGTACCTTGCTTATGGTGTATTACCTTTGAAGCTTTTTTTTCGTGTAATTTTTAAAAAAGATTTACTTTTATTTTATGTGTATGAATGTTTGCCTGCATGTATGCTGGTACGCCATGTCTGTGCCTGGTTCCTGTGGAGGGCAGAAGAGGGCATCGGATCCCCTGGAACTAGAATGACAGGCATTTGTGAGCCTGCCTCTGCCTCCTAGGTGCTAGGATGAAATGCGAGCACCCTGATGCCCAGCTTAGATGTTTCCTTCTTAGGTCATGAGTGAGTATTGAATCTCTTGGATCACTTAGACACAACAATTATAATGCTTACATGGCCTGCTTTCTTGTTCTGTTATGCATTAGGAACTTTAACACATGTTCTAACGTTAAGCCATTTTTAAGTGCTTGGTCCAATTTCTTCCTTCTTTCTGTGTCAATGCCTAAACTGAATTTTAATGCATAGAGAAGAGTTTGGCAATCACTCATATAGCGTTCGCCATGCCCAGGAACAGCTGCAGTTCACTGTCAGCACACAAGTCTCCCTCTACTTGGTAGTGTTATTACCTGTCTTCCTCAATATACAGACCAAGGATTGGACTTCTAAAACCATGAACTCACTCCTCCTGCTTCTGATCCTCATATAAGCTGGAAACAGCGGCGCCTGCTCTTACCCGGCTCTTTCCCACTATTGTCTGGGGCTCAGCAGACAGCTGTGCTGCTTAGCCATCCTCCCTCAGGACCAACAGACACTTGGCTTGGTAGCAGTTCTGAGCTGTCATGAATAATGTTATTGTTTGCTTTCCTGGAGATGACTGGTGGTGTGTGGGCATGCCCATATACTTCTGCTGGGTCTACTCTCCCTGAGAATGAAGTTACTGGGCCACAGCGCTTACAGATGCAATTTGGTGGATCATGCCCAAAGGATTTCATGTGAAGCATACTGTTCTCTATTATCTTTCAAGGCATGCCTCATTTTCTCATGAGACATTTATTTGCTAAGCTATTTAAAAAATTTGTTTAGCCCGTATGTATATAAACACACCCATGTCATACAGTGCCCACAGAGGCCAGAAAAGGGCATAGATCCTGAGTTAAGGATGGTTGTTTGCCACTCTGTGGGTGCTGGGACTCCGACCAGTCCTCTGGAAGACAGTCAGTGCTCTTAACGGCTGAGTCGTCTCTCTAGCCCCTGCTAAGCTATTTTTATCAGCTTAAAAACACTGTTAGCAAAAGCAAGATCATTCTCTGTCATAAACACACTTGAAGAACGTATTACCTTTTTGAGGAAATGACTGGAAGCCAGGAGCTGGGCCATGAAGGACACGGACAGGAACTTAAAGTGCCGCAGCTGCTTGCTAGTATGAGTGTCGACCCTGAAGACAGGCAGCACTTCTTCTCCAGCCTCACTCTTACTAGACGGTGGCTTGGAAGTAGAGTCTGAAAAACAGTGGCAGGTGACTTTACTATCTCCAGTCTTTGTCCAGGGAGCTTCACAGTGCAGCATGGTGAGCGGCAGGCGGTCTCAGACATTCCTGATCAGCAGGACACCATGCTTTTCTTCTTCCAAAGCACTGAGACACTGGGGCACATTTACCAAGGCGGCACCCCACTGCACAGGCCTGAGACCACCTTGTCAGTCAAAATGAAACACTACAAAGCAGAGAAGCTGAGACAACCAGGGGGAAGAGATCCCAGCCCTGAGTCAAGTTCCTGAGGGCTGACTGGGTACCTGCTGGGCAGCCCAGAGGTTGAAGGAGGAACATCCCCACCAACAAGCTTGTCAAAGCTCAGGTGCAGCCACACAGTGTTGGAGGCACAGTGGTCTGAATAGGCCTGGCTTCCTACAGATGACACAAGAGGGCTCTGAAAACAGACATACTCCCTCTGCTTTCCCTCAGCTCTAGACTGAACAGTACCCAGCACCGGGCCTGTGCTTACCTTCTTTTTCCTCTGGAAGCTTTACCAAGTACTGGAGGATGGTCATCATGCTCTGGACCTGGTGCTGGACACTGAATTCACAACAGAGGGAAATCCAGAACTCAGTATCTGCCTCTAAAATAGCATCCTGTTTGGAGAAAAAGAGGAAAGGTGACAAACCGGGCCGAAGAAGCACATTAATAAGCACAAACCAAGGACACACTCAGAACACAGGATGTGTGTCCCCCTAGCTGTCACCAGCTGAGAGAGTCATGAGTTCCTTCTTAAAACAGCCCTGCAGAGAACTGTGGGCGTGAGAACTCAGATTCAGCAATCAGTCTGCAGAGCTTTATGCAGATTCTACAATGAGAAGTTACAGGCCTCTCCCAGGCTCCTCCTCTAAGAGGTCTTTGGCCTGTCCAAGTTCAGGTCTAGGTCTGCTGAAGTGGATGTTCCCTCTTCATACGAATGCCTCCACAGACACTTTTCAGTGGTTGTTTCACCACAGCACAGAAGGACTCAGCAGAACCACCAGCAGACACCAGACCTGTTTCTTAGGAAAGCCCGGTCACTCTCAGATGGTTTATTGCTATTTAAGGATCTGCGTCTACATGATCTGAAAACTTAACACCAAAACCATTCTTTAACAAGGTTCTGGGCAAGCACTGTCAAATAACGCATATAAGTATTAGCAGTCCCATATTTACTACACTAGACAATCATCAGAAAGCCCATGTGACATCACCCTGCCCCCCCATATTCTGACCTTTTCTCCACAGGCAGCCACCAGCGCTGTTTTAGTGACATACTGTTCGAAAAGCGAGATAAGCAGAACCCACAGGAATTTCTCTGCACCGAGTGTGTCGATCAGCTGAACAAGAATAGGCAGGCGCCTGTGCTCTGGCACGTGTGGGAGTGCGTCCACAAATACACCAATGATTTTTACCACGATCTCTTCGACATTTCTGGTGACTTCTACAGAGTCTCCAGTATCAGACTGCAAAAGAACCAGCAGGGACTGGAGCAGGCACAAATAGGCCTCCTCAAAACCAGCTTGCAGGGACCAAGATCAGGCCTATCACTAAACATTCCATTGGACATCTATCTTATCTCGGGCACTATTTGAGTACAAAGTGTAGGTGTGGGTCTTGCCCCACTGGAGAGTTACCATGTGTATAAAACAAGATGTCACACAGAGGACAAGAGGCAGGAAGTGGCAGAAGGCTGTGTGGGTCACCTGAGCAGGCCACGCAGGTACCCATGCATGGGCAGAATCAAAGCAAGCTCACAGAGAAGGCCAACAGCCCCCATGGGCTCCAGACCAAGTTCAATCCATTTAACTCTAGGACTTATGATCAAAACAGTCACTGAATGAATGAAAGAATGAATTAAAGGGTAAACAACTAAAGGGCTAAACCAATGTCCTCCACCAGCACTGACACCTGTCTTCCAGGTCCATCTGCACCATGCTCTGCAGACACTGTGTCCATGCCCACATGGGGCTCTTACGCTCCTGACTGCTCTGCCGTGCCAGTCCTACCCTCTGTGCTAGTTCAAATCCTATTTCTTATGAAATTTTCTTGCTACAGCGGTCCATATGGACTTTCCCCTAGTCTTGATTCCAGCACTTATTTATTCCTTTGGCACATGTGTTTTTTAGGCATACATCCTGTAGCCGCCAACTTATCAGACAGATGAAACACAATCTAACATGTTTCCCAAGAATGAAGGGAAACAGTGAGGGTGTTTACCCCTCGAAGGAGTAAAGTGCAACTAAAGACTTTAACAAGTCAGACAGCCAGACCCTTTACATACGAGGTTGCCTTTGACTCCCCACTTCCTCATTTCGCACTGGCAAAGACTACCCTATCTCCCCAAGTCTTGGCTCTCAGAGGACGCTTAGGAATGTCTGTTATATCGCATGCTAGCGATGTATTCTTCTTTTACTTTTTCTCTATAGCATTCTCGGTTTAAGAAGTTCGCCATCAAATTTGTGTGATATCTGCACAAGACCCATGCAAACTTGGGCAGACAAAAACCCAGAACTGTGCAAAGAACAGCAGGCCCCAATCTTAGTAGAAGAATTATTGGCAGCTGATTACTGCTGGGTGAGGAAGAGCTGATCTAGAAGGGAGGGACTCCAGACAGACTGCCTAGACCCCAGTGAATTTGCATTGAGAGACATCTCCGGACACCAATGTTACATAATAGGACTTAGAACAAATGACAGAATGTATGAACTCACGTGGGGCGGGGTGTTATGGGAGGTGCCAAAGGACAAGTGGGAAGGGGATACAGAGATGATTTTGTGTATCAAATACACAAAAATTCAATAAAACTTTAAAAAACATTTATGTGACATCTAAAATAGACAGTTGGTCTGAATCTATCCATCAGCATGGTGTCAGAACACTTCTGTGGTTACATTGCTGTGGCTCAGCAGACCTAGACTTAACACATCTGCCTGCGCTCTCAGAAAAGACTAGTTACTTGTAAGCTCACTTGCTGGCTTCCACACTATAAAATTCAGGGCAGAAGGATCTGGCCCTTCCATGAAAACTGAGCATGAAGCACAGCAGCGGTGGCACCGCACGGCTTACCTGAATGAGAGCTGGGATAACCATCTTCACTGTCTTGCTGATAACTTGGAAACTGTAAGCATCATCGAGGCGCATGACATTGGCGCCCATGAATGTAAAGATAGACATGATATTGTGCAGAACTTTATCCTGAAAGAAAGCACAACTGTCAGCATTTTCTGCTTCAGATGTACCAAATCCAAAGACTGATTGAAAACCAGCAATAAAAATAAAAATATCTTGCTGAAAAATAGGAGAAAGGCTGGGCTAGGACTGGAGCTCAACAGCAGATCTCACATGCAGGGTAGACAAGCACCTGGTCAATCTTTGATACCACCAGGAGTAAAAACAAACCAAAGTAGAGCCGGGTGTGGTAGGCCATGCCTTTAGTCCCAGCACTCGGGAGGCAGAGGCAGGTGGAGTTAAGAGGCCAGCCTGGTCTACATAGTGAGTTCCAGGACAGCTGGGGCTACAGGGAGACCCTGTCTCAAAAAGACAGTAAGTAAATAAATAAACAAATAAATAAGGGCAGATTTCAAGTTTCCACATATAGGAATGGCCAAGCGTATAAAATAAGAAAAGCAAAATATGTGGACATTCCACACCATTTGTCATCGGGGAATTATGATATCAAAATGGCAAGGTCCACTCCATGTCTACTACAGTGGCTGGACATGTGCTACCAAGATGGACATCATGAGGCAGATGAAAATCAAATTCACCTTCTTGTCACTGGTGAGGCTGTTTATAGGCGTAGTGAGTGGGCTGTTTTTTTTTGTTTTTTTTTTTTTTTCAGATAACACGAATACTGTCTTCCTGGACAGTTACAGTGTGCAAGATACTTTATGAGGAGCCCCACCTCGCTGAGTCCTCATCACAACCCAGTTAGAAGGTTCCTGTTATTTTCACTTTACTAACAGGAATGGAAGCCCAGCATCTTTTTTTTTTTTTTTTTTTTTTTTTTTTTTTAATGCTGACGGTTAAATCTGGTGCCTCACACATGCCAGGCAGGAGCTCTACCACTGAGCTACAGACCCAGGCCTATCCTCAGCCCAGGGAATTTGCATGTGTGTGCGCCACTGCATTTCCAGGGAAGAAAAGTACCTGAGACAAATGCCAAGTCTTACAGCTTTCCCTTACCGGAAATATTCCAGCAACAGTACCCAAAAGTAAGAGGGCGTGGTGATGGGTCTGAGGCATCTCCGAAAGGCGGATGCACTGGACTATGAGTTCCACATTGAATTTCTCCTCATCTACAACACCTACAGTGGTGGGGAATAAAAAAATCTAAGCAGCAGATCGCTTCACAGGAAACAAAGTGCCTCTCTCTGCGCCCTGTGCACAAGTGCGCACCTTTAGGGATTCTGCCGCCGTCAGGTGAGAGCTTCTGGCAGATGTTGAGCAAACAACTGAGAATCAATTGCTTGGTGTATTCCATGTTCCCCTGCTCTGAGGACAGAGGTTCTAAACACCTGCAGGAACCACAGAAAAGAAGTGAGGGGACAAGTTAATGATCACTGTCCAGAACTCTTTAGCAATTACTAAAACACAATCATTAAACACAATCTTAGACGTAAAATTTCTAACCCTAATTTCTTTTTCATAGTCAACTATTATGTCAAATTATTTCTTTTGTGTTGCACTTTCCACTCACTACCTGGAATCACACTCAACTCAGCGGCATATTCTCTACCTGAGTTCACACCAAAAGCACAGCAGGTGTCCTATTGTCAACTTAACTACGAGCAAGGGTGGCCCACACACAGCACTGAGATTTAGTTAGGAAAAGGAGGTGGAAGATGAGTAGCCACTGACAAAGGACACACATGAAGATTGGCTTAGGAAGCCGGTGATAGGGAGCCAATTCCAGCTTCGGTCTTCCAACTCCAGTACTTCAGCTTCCTTTACACAACAGGACTATACAAGTCAGTGAAGAGAGGACAAACTAGAACTATGCTGAAAGGAGGATGGGACGTCAACTCGGACAACTTTTCACAATCAGTCTCTCCCAGACTGAAGCTGAGGGTCATACCTGGACAGCAAGTTAAAAAGAGTTGGTATCAGTGTCTGGGGGTTTTTGAGCTTCTTTTTGTGCTGCAGCAGCTCTAGGATGAGGGTGACTCTTTGCCAATAAGAACTTCCAACTTCCTGAACAGGTTCCATGTCTTGTGATTTTCTAAGAATCAGAGAAGATGCACTGGTCAGTGAAAACTATCCCGGTCATGTGAAATTCATGACACCAAGTCACTATGGCTTTAGAGCGGCCAGAGCCCGAGGACCGAGTAGCTTCTCTCCCCACTGCTTACTTCTGCATCTTCTGCCTCCTCGTCTGCTGCACTGTGCCCAGGGGCCACGCTGTGCCAGGTGGCTCCAGTTCTATTCTGATTTGCTCAGCATTAACTGAAATCTGAAATGTTGAAGAATGAACAGCTGGTGATGGCATTCACTGGGCAGCATGCAAGTAATACACAAGAGTCAGTAAAGCGACCACGTCCACTTTCACGTCTTTATGCCATTCCCCCATCCCCCAAGACGAATACCATGAGCGGCCGGACAACTCTTAGGTATCCTTTAGGAGTGTTCTAGTCTAAGCCACAGCAACTGCTCTCGTACCTCGGCATCCATGCATATCAGCATACATTTCTTTCAACATAAGGTACTAAGTGCAGAATTAGAGTGCTATGGTGATCACAGCTACCTTATTCAAGGCCAAATCCATCTTTAGCCGATATGACATATCTGAAAATCCTTTCTTTTTTTCTTTGCTTTGTTTTGGATTTCTGGAGACAGGGTCTTACTATGGAGCACAGACTGGCCTTGAACTTGTGATCCTCCTGCCTCAGCCTTACAAGTATGGGAATTACAGGTATGGAACACCACCTCTGGCTTGTAAATATTTCATGTGACTACTAGTCTGTTTACGGAGACAGAAGACGGAGGGATTTAGAGTAACACTTTCCCTTTCAAAACCTTTCAAATGTTTTGATGGATCTTAATTCAACAGCACTAAATTATCACTATATTGTACTCAAACTGTTAAAAATATGATTCTAGGGGCTAGAGAGATGGCTCAGCGGTTAAGAACACTGGTTGTTCTTGCAGAAGATCTGGGTTCGAATCCGAACACCCACATGGCAGCTAACAACTGTTCGGAACTCCAGACCCAGAGGATCCAACAGTCTCTTCTGTCCTCTGTGGACACTGCATGACACGGGTGCACTTAACCTATACGCAGGCAACACACTCATATACATAAAATAAATAATAAGTAAAATATTAAAAAAAAAATCTGATTCTAATCTCTCCTCCCATTTCTTTAAGGATGAAGCAGGTGTTCTGATACTTCTACCTCAAGAAAAATCAGGACAAGGAAAGGCCAGAGGGGACAACAACCAAAGCCAGCCCTACACCGTGAACCTGAATGGCGCTCTCTGGTTAGCACACACTTGCTTCTCTGGGGTTTCACGAGTCTCAATCATGGGCCTGCACTTCCTTGACTATGACAGAATGCCACTTCTCCAGTACAGCACGGTGATCCACCCCTCAACACACCACGCAGAGCGTAAATCTAGTCACTCAGTACAGAATCATCCACTCTCTGTTCAACATGCTAAGCCAGATATATTCTAACTGACGGGGAAGGAATAAAACAGAAAGTCATATCCCAAGAGATTCTTCAGCTACAGGGCTGGATCCAGAAACCTCTCTCCTCAGAAAGTTCTGACACCAAAACTACCTGTGACTGTGGACTGAGCGCTAGACAAAACCAAGAAACTGCTGCCAATTTTTTCAGGAATATTTGTAGTGACATAAAAAAACGGCCATTTTTTTAAAAAGATGCAGACCAAGGTGCATAGGGATAAAAAATAAAATGCTGGGCTGGAGACTACAAACTGTCCTTAAGACCAGTTCCAGGGGAACCCGAAGCCCTCTTCTGACCTCCGCAGCACTGCACGACACGGGTGCACTCACATACATGCAGGCAACACACTCATACACATAAAATAAAATAAATAAATTAATTAATTAAAATAAAATAAAAATGCTTTGAGACTTACTTTAAAATATTTAAGCAAATAAGGGAAATAGAACCTATGCTAAAACTTGGGGAGTTCAATCTAGAGAATGGAATTTCATCATTCTGTTGTTCATGCATACCATGTCTGTAGTGTGCATGTAGAGGTGCATGTACATGCATGTGTGAGTGCACAGAGATCCAAGGCTAGCGCTGGGAGTCTTCCAGAGGCCTGTTCTTCACTCTGTTCACCGAACCCCTCGTCCAAGGCTCACCCACACAGCTAGTCTAGCTGGTCAGCTTGTTCTGGGGTCCCCAGTCTGTGTCTTCTGAGTGTTAGAATTACAGGCAGGCTGCCATACCAACAGGAATTTATGTGGGTTTCTGGGGATCTGAACTCTAATCCTTATGCTTGTACGGCAAGTTTTGTTCATGGAGCCATCTCCCTCGTCCCTACCATTCTCTCTTAGTGAATTCAAGAACCAGAATAATCCAGGGATACCGCAATGGCTCGCTTTCAATACATATAAAAGCAACAGGCAGAGCCCCCATTCCATCATGCACAGCACATTCTACAGGTAAAGGATGATCACCTGGCTCAGCACTGAACCTTTCCTGCTTTCCTGTCCTTGCATTGAACAGGCAGCTCATATCTAATACCAGTGAAGATCCAAAATGACACACCCATATGCCGTTACTCACTGAAAATGCACACTTCATACAATGAAAATAATGTGTCTCTATTACCTACTTCTCTAAGTTGTTACTGGCAATGTATGACCCTTTCGGAACACAGAAATACAGGATAGTCATGCACCAGGTAAAGACTGGGCAACAAATCACAACATTTGCAACTCACCCCTTTAAAAGCACTCCCAACAGCCTGAACACAGAGCGAGTGCTTGCAGCTCACCAGTAAGTCAAATAGAATGCACAGGAGCTTCTGCTGAACCTTCTCTTCTGATATAGCTGCAAAAAATGGCTTCGTGATCTAAAGGGCAGAAGAGGCCAAGCCAGTGAACAAGCTTCAAAACCAGAGATGATTTCCTATCATTTCTTTCAATATAAAATGGCTCTCTACTTTATTTATTTGTGTTTTTGAGTCAGGATCTCCCTGAAGCCCCACCTGGCCTGGAACTCGTTAGGTAGACCAGGCTGGCCTTGAACTCAGATATCTGTTTGCCTCTCCCTTCTGAGTGCTGGGATTAAAGGCCTGTACCACCACACCTGGCTCCACTTTTTTTTGTTGTTGTTGTTGTTATTGTTCATTTAAAATGCAAAGCTTTTTAAATTTATTTTTATTGTGTGTGTATGATGTGTGCATGTAAAGATCAGAGGCAGTTCCCTCCTTCCACCACGGTTCTTGCTGTCAGGGTTGTGCAGCAGCACTGTCACTCTGAGCCACCTCACTGGCCCTAAAATGCAATGTTTTTAATGTTCCACATGCAACATTTGTACAGTAGGTAAATGTATCTTCCACTTTTATTTTCTTGACACAGGTCTCAGTATGTAGCCCTGGCTGGTCTGGAACTCACTATGTAAACTAGATGACCTCAAACTCAAGAGAGATCCATCTGCCTCTGTCTGGAGTGCTGGGATTAAAGGTGTGTACCACCATGCCCGCCTCTTGTGCTTCTAAAAGCATGCCTAATCATTTAGTAACTTACAACTCTCTACAGGCTTGATCAAGCTTTGGTTTCTGAAGGAAGTCACTGACCTTTTCAAGGGCAGCGATCTGAACGGTTGGCATTCCTGGGTGAAGTTCCTTTGTTGTATGCACAGCTTTTATAAACAGTTCTAAACTCTTTGGCTCTTTATGTAAAAGTGAAGCTGAGGACTCATTGTATTTTCCTAGTGCGAGGTGCAGAAGGACGGCCTCATCTTTCAGGACAACCGGGCGCTCCTTCATCTTTCCCAGTAACTCTTCCACCATAGGCAACAGCCGGGCGAGCACCATCTAAAAACGGGGCCGGGCATTAGTACAGTCATGGAGGTCCATGCTTTCAGTCACTATTCAAAGACAGCTGAAGAGCCCTGTTGGAGCACTGGGGCCTGTGGACGAAGAGCATCATCATGGTGCCTCTTGGGTAGGAGGTAATGATGATGTCACATCGAGGCGCACAAGGTCACTATGACAGCTTGCCTAGAATCTCCAAGCTCTCTAAAATCTTCAGAGGAGCTGAAGACATTCTGAGAACAGAAAAACTAAAAGCTGATCATAATGATATTTTAGCATTTACTAAAACATGGTGCATTTCCCTCAAACATTTCCAATTTGTATTAATTCAAATGAGGTGAAGGCTTTAATAATTAAACCACGGGCCAGCAAATCACAGCCTGTGGGACAAATCCAGTGGATGACTTGTTTTTATAGCTTATTGACACATACAGCTATGATTTGTTAATGCAACAACTGTGACTGCTTTCCTGATGCAGAGGCAGAGTCAAGTAGCTGCAAGAGAGACCAGATGGTCCACAGAGCCCAAAAGTGTTGATTGTTGTTACCTGCAGAGGACTGGTTCAAAGTCATTCCTTAAACAAAATTCTGGATACTCAAGTCTCGAAAATATGAAATGGCACAGTGTTTGCACATGACAGCTTCCCAAATACTTAAAATCATCTCTAAGTTACTTGTAAAGATAAAAAAATCTGTACATGTTTGGTATAGATACAAGTTTTCTCTCAAACCGTTCCAAACTGAGGTTGGTTGAGCCCACAAAGAACTTCATGGTCAGAGAAGATGGACAGTACTCACTACCTGGTCCTTTGTAAAGACTCAACTTGTAAATGATGCCAGGAACAATTCCGCACTGATAACTGAAAAATCACTTTACCCATGTTAGTTCTCTAAGTCTGTAGTCAGCGCCGTGGGGAACAGGAAGAGGGAACATCTGCTGTGCTGCTCAGCACACACTGCCGTCACTTTACCCATGTTAGTTCTCTAAGTCTGTAGTCAGCGCCGTGGGGAACACGGCACACACAGCAGGAAGAGGGAACATCTGCTGTGCTGCTCAGCACACACTGCCACCTCTTCCTTCTGCACCACGGCTTCCTTGAGAACGTACTGAAGCTATGGATCCCCCACCCGCAACAAGAAAAATGTACAGGCCTATGTATTTAACAAAGGAGCAACTTGCAGTTTCCATAGACTCCTATATCCAAATATATTCCCTTGTGGAGGACGTCTTCCTTGAAAGATGTGCACAAATGAGTTCTTTTTCCATGAGATCTGAGACCTACCTGAAATCAAGCTGATGAGATGATGAACAATTCTAACATGGGCAGAGTCCACGCTGCCTACGTCCTCTATCCTTTTACTATGTAACCCTCCTCCTCCCAGTCTCTGAGCGCACACTCGGGATCTTGCAACCATCTTCCATACATGACGGCCATGACCCTCAGATGGACACACAGCCCTGCATACTGTGTGTCTCACATACCTCACTGTTGACTTCCTGTAGTATTTTCATCAGATCTTTTGCAACGTAAGACGGGCACCCGTACACACAACGAAGGAGGCTGTTCAACGTTTCAGACAACTTCTGATGAGACTTCAGATTCTTTTCTCTCTGTAGCTCATCAAATAAAGTAGCCAAATCCTGCACGCCAGGAAGAAAATTAGATCAAAGAGTTAGAGATCTAAAGACTAAACGTTCTAATCATGGATGCCTCTCCCTCAAACAAAAGGACACTGCTCACACCATCTCATTTCTCTTCGAATAAGCCCCACCTTGGAAGAGCGTCTGTGCCTGCAGCTGGCCCAGTATGGAGAGCTGGTCTTTCATGCAAGCAAAGGGCAGGAGAACTGAAGCAGTACTTGACCTTTTAAAAGCAGCAGACACTAAATTTTGAACTAGTGACGTAGCCCATGAAAATCCCTCCCAGATACGCTGTTGGGGAGAGCACCATCTGAGGTCCACAGGAAGGCTTGCACTCAGCCACTTTGCCAGTGAGCTAACCTGAATGACATAGGTGGCATCTGAAGTGATCTCCTCTGCCTTAGGAACCAGGTGATCTACCACCAGCTGAAACTTTGAGGCCATGCCGCTGAGGGCTTGGAGACACTGAATGGCAGCCCTGCGGACTTCTTTTGTGGGGCTTCCCAGGTTGATGAGTAGAGATGTCACCACTAAAACCAAAGGGGAATGAATATAAGTAGCTCAACTGAAGAGTATGTGCCTGACAAGTGTAATACACACACAGGCTTCCATCCCTTGCACCCTCCCTGCCCCCAACACACACACACACACACACACACACAAACACGCATGCACACACACATGCACACACGCACACAGGCTTCCATCCCTTGCACCCTCCCCGCCCCCAACAAACACACACAGGCTTCCCTCTCTGAAGACTGTTCACTGTTTAAATATCCCAGAAAAATGTTGGCCATGTTTTCTTTCCAGTTGTAGAAATGAGCCCAGTACATCCTTCACCAACTGCCCCCCTCCAAGTGTCTGCTCCCCAATGGGCACACATATCTAAAGTACCCCTTTTTTTAGTCAGGGAACTCATTACATATTCCTGGCTGGCCTGGAATTTGCTATGTAGACCAGGCTGGCTTCAAACTCACTGAAATCCGCCTGCCTCTGCCTCAGGAGTGCTGAGATTATGAGATTAAAGATGTGCACCACCACGTCCTGCACACTTTTTTGACATTGTGGAGTACCCCAGTGTGTTTTCTATATTCAAGCCAGTGCCTTCCACTGGGGAAGGTTAGTCAGGTGGTTTCACAGTAATGCTGCTAACAATGCCCAAGCCCATTCTTGCATGAGTGTGCACAGAACGTTACCCACTGCACACCATGCTTTGCAAATGTTTTACCCTGATTGACATGGGGTTTTTGTTGCTGCTGCTGCTGTTGTGCTGACACAAAGTCTCTCTGCAGCCCAGGATGACCTCAGAATTCTGATCCTCCTGCCTCTACCTCTCAAGTAACTGAGATCATAGGCGTGAGCCAGTTCTATCTGGCTCCCTGACTGATGTTGTTTTTAGTGCAAACATTATATACTCTTGTGTCCAGGGACAGATCATGTGTACTCTGCCTTCTTTTAATGACAGCTAAGTTTTATGTCACACCTGGTGGAACTTCTGTACAGCGAATGAGATTTTCTAACTGTTCGAGCATTGTCCTATTTAACAATCCACATCAGCATCTTACCTAACAATCCCCCCAGAATAGCAGTATCACCCACTCATTCTGCAAGTATCTGAAACTTCCCAATTCCTGCTGCAAGAACACAGTGACAAATCTAACAGCCCCTCACCTCAACTATGTGCTTTCTAGAAACACCAGCTTTTGACTTGGAGGAATATTTTTATCCTCTTCCTTTTATTTTGCTGTCACTTACACAGGAAGAATTTATTGATTTGGGGACATGATATGAGATTTCCCCTTCCACAGAGAGTCCTTTACACTGAACCAATTTTGTATTTTTGATATGGACAGTATCTGCACAAATGTTTCCTGTAGGAGTCTCACACAGCATAGTTCAGAACAACAATAAAGGCCCTTGGTTTTGTTCTGGTCTGCATGTAATCTTGGTTTTAGGTAACAATCTGGAAGCTTTCCTTTTCTTTTTATGTTCTGCCCAGTTCAACAACACTGACAAAACCGGTTTTAGAGGTGTATTAGATGTATCTGTCTGTGAGACCAACCATATTGGTTTTAAAAACTTTTACCAGTTGGGCGTGGAAACCCATGCTCATGATTCCAGCACTCTAAGGCGATGGCAGAGGCCAAGCTGCTCTACTATCAAAGTACCAGGCCAGTCAGGGCTGCAAAGTGAAACCGTTTCAACACACGCACACACACACGCACGCGCGCACACACATCTTCCAGATAAAGAGGTTTTATCTAAATTCCTTTCATGTTAATTAGCTGCTGGGCTTTACTTCATGTTGCCCACTGGAGGAAACTTTGGTCATTTATATTTTGCCAGAAATGATCCATTGTACATATTCCATTTCTAGAATGCAAGAAAGAGCTTGGTAAGTTTTCAAACCTGTCTGCAATCTGTTTTACACTACAAAAGCCTCTTGGTCTCCATAAAGTTAATTTATAAAACAAAGTCAGAAGAAAAAAGCTGAAAAGTTAAACAAGTTTATATAAGGGACAGCTTCAGGCCAAAAAAATTTTTTTTGCTAGATTTCCTATACAGTGCAGCAGAGCTTCTAAAAAATACAAATCCTGCTAGGCATGGTGGCGCATGCCTTTAATCC